AATATTGTATTTGGGAATCTAAATTCAACATGTAAAAAGAGTACTTCTTTGTAATCAAAATTTTAATCATTCTTTGAATGGAAACATACATTATAAAAAAAGATAAATCCAAATAGCGCAACCCTGGCTGGGTAGCTCAGTTGGTTGTATTATCCAGTACACCAAATGATTACAGGTCTGATCCCCGGTCAGGGCACATACCCAGGTTGTGGGCTTGCTCCCTGGTAGGGGCACATATGGGAACAACTGATCAATGTTTTTTTCTCTCTGTGTCTCCCCACCTTTTTTCCTCTCTCTCTAAAATCACTAAGCATGTCCTCAGGTAAGGATTAAAAAAAATAAAAACAAAAATCCAAGAAGTGCAATTGAGTAACAATTAAGCCCTTCCCCCAACCTAACACATACCTCTAAACCTAATACCCTGCCCCTCAGGCTCACTCCCAGAAATAACCAAGTGTGCTTAATCATGTAATCATATTTTTCTCTTCTGGATAAATAAGTGTACAATGCAACTAACTCAAAATCTATCTATATTCTAGAATATAAAAGTCAAGAAGATATCAACAGTCTGAGTAAGAAATATCTCATTTTCTTTTAGCTAATAAGTGCTTGATCTGCAATATAGAAAAAGTGAGAAATTTATTTTTTTCTTGAAGGAACAGAAGTTGCAAATATTTAAGGCATCCTAACAGAATATAATGTCATATCCAAATGTTTGTATGTATGTATATGGTAGGGGCAACTCGACTGCTCTTGCATAGTTTTTTTCTACTGCCTGTAGAGACTATGTTTACAGTAAATATTTTATAAAGCCTATATGCTATCCTGAAATAAGATTCTTAGATAAGGAGACTTCCTGCACCCATAAAAATATAATATCCTAATTATAATTTATAACAAAATTACATGCATTCTAATATATAAATGCCTAGATTATACTAGAAGACAATGTAGTAGACAGTGATTGTATTTACTTATGCAAATATATTTGGACTTAAAAGAAGACTGGAAGCTACTCTATGTGAGTATAAGAGAATGGGAGTGAAGAAATACAATGGGTATCAGATAGTACTAATGTTTTTAGAACTATCCAAAAGTATTTTGTTTATATATAAAACTGATTTAAATTCTAGGTTGAGCATTATAAATAGGTTTTTATATCTATCTCTTGCAGTGCATTTGAAATTTGTATGGAAGTCATTTGATTTTTCATGGTGCTAAACTAGCCCTCTACTCCACCCCACCCTTGTCACAATCAAAAGATACACTGACACATTTCCATATCTCTTAGAGGGCAACACTACCTGCCCTCTTGAGAACCACTGCTCTATAGCAACAAACTAATGCGTGACTACATCTGCACATCCACTTCCCCATCTGTATTTATGTAACTGTATGTTTGCGATTATAGCAAAGTAAATTGACAAAATGAGTTGAAGGCTTTTATAAAATTTACTGGCTGTTTCTCTTGGCCTGACTTATGAAACCTGAGTGGTGATCCCATTTGGATACTTCAACCAATCCTCCCTTGTACCATCTAAGCCAAGTATCTGAATTAAGGGCAGTGTGAAGCAGATACTGAGATGAATGGACTCCACTATTCCTCTCTACTAGTTCAAATGAAAGGAAACAGTTTTCTCCAGAGCAGAAAATTCTGTGTATGAGAGAAAAAAATTTTAATTTTGTATACTTTATTGAATATGCTATTATAGTCGTCCCATTGTTTTCTCCCCTTTATCCTCCTTTGCTCGGTACTCTCATTCCTTCTAGCATTCCTCTCCCTCGGTTCACGTCCATGGGTCATACATATAAGCGCTTTGGCTTCTCCATTTCCCATACTATTCTTAACTTCCCCCTATTTTGTACTTACCAATTATGCTTCTTATTCCTTGTACCTTTTCCCTCATTCTTCTCCCTTCTCCTCCCTCCCCTCCTGGCTGATAACCCTCCATGTGATCTCCATTTCTGTGATTCTGCTCCTGTTCTAGTTGTTTGCTTAGTTTGTTTCTGTTTTTGTTTTTGTTTCTTTTAGGTTCAGTTTTAACAGTTGTGAGTTTGTTGTTATTTGACTTTTCAGAGTTTTGATCTTTCTCTTAGATAAGTCCCTTTAACATTTCATGTAATAATGGTTTGGTGATGATGAATTCCTTTAACTTGACCTTGTCTGGGAAGCACTTTATCTGCCCTTCTATTCTAAATGGTAGCTTTGCTGGATGCAGTAATCTTGGATGTAGGTCCTTGCTTTTCATGACTTTGAATACTTCTTTCCAACCCCTTCTTGTTTGTAAAGTTTGAGAAATCATCTGGGTCTTATGGGAACTCCTTTGTAGGTAACTCTCTGCTTTTCTCTTGCTGCTTTTAAGATTCTCTCCTTATCTTTAATCTTTGGCATTTTAATTATGATGTATCTTGGTGTGGTCCTCTTTGGGTCCAACTTCTTTGGGACTCTCTGAGCTACCAGGACTTGTATGTCTATTTCCTTTGTAGATTAGGGAAGTTGTTTTCCATTATTTTTCCTAATAAGTTTCAATTTCTTGCTCTTCCTCTTCTTCTACTGGCACCTCTGTGATTCAAATGCTGGAACGTTTAAAGTTGTACCAGAGATTCCTAAGCCTCTCCTCATTTTTTTGAATTTTTGTTCCTTCATTCTGTTCCAATTGAATGTTTATTCCTTCCTTTTGTTCCAAATCATCGACCTGAGGTCTGTTTCCTTCCCTTCACTGTTGGTTCCCTGGATATTTTTTATTTCACTTTGCATAGCCTTCACTGCTTCTTTTATTGCATCTGTACTCAGTCATTTCTGTAAGCACCCTAGCTACCAGTGTTTTGAACTCTGCATCTGATAGATTGGCTATCTCCTCATCACTTAGTTCTTTTTCTGGGGTTTCGATCTATTTTTTCGTTTGGGCCATATTTCTTTGTCTTGGTGCACCTCTTACACTGTAAGAGGCAGAGCCTTAGGTATTCGCAAGAGCAGGGCAATCCGCTTCATTGCGTTGTGGCACTGTGTGTATATGGGGGGTGGGTCAGAGAGGGAAAAATGCCCCTTGCTCAGCTCTCACCCTGCTTTCGGTCACTTCCCCTGCTTCCTGCAAGTAACTGGCACCCTTCCAGTTGCTGCCCTGGTGCTGATTCCGTGAGTGGGTGGGCTTCTGTATGTTCTAGGACCCCAGGAACCCCTCAAATGCTCTTTCCTGAGAGACCGGCAGTTTCTTCCACTACTGCAACCACTATAGGTTGTTACAGCCAAAGGTTATGAGGTGTCAGAGAGGGAACAATGCCACTTTCCCGGCTCTCACCTGCTTTCACTTTCCCCAGTTCCCACAAGTGACTGGCACCCTTCCAGGTGTTGCCCTGTTGCTGATTCCTGAATGGGTGGGCTTGTGTATGGTCTAGGATCCCACTGGCCACTCCAATGGGCTCTCCTGTAAGACTGATAGTTTCTTCTGCTGTCACAATTCCCACATGTTTTTACCACCAGGGGTTCTGAGGCTTTATTTACCTGGCACTGGAACCCTGGGTTGTGTGATCTATCTCGCTTCCCAGTTATTCCTCCCAGTTTTTATCCACATGTGAATGTGGAACTACCGGATCCACGAGCCGCCACTTCAAAGCATGTTCTCTTTACCTGGATGCCCATCTGTCCCCCCACACAGGTCTGGATGTTTCCTCTTTAACTCCTTGGTTGTTGGACTTTCATGCGGCTCGATTTTCAGGCAGTTATGGTTGTTTTTTGTTTTTAACTTGGTTGATATCCTTCTTTTGGTTGTGAAGTGTATCTACCTTTACCTTCATCTTGGCTGGAACTTGAAAATTTAAAAATTTTTAATGAGCTTGCAGGGATTGTTTAAAAATGTAGCTATATTCACTTGTATATTGTTAGCTATATGTGTATGAAATATACTTTGCTTGAAATAGAACAGATACAAAATTTACTTTACCATGCCTGTATATATGCAAAAAGTGAAAATAGAAAATTGCCTAGAATTTTAGAGAACTTGAACAAAAAAATTATCTTGTCTACATAGGTATTAAAAAGCCTGTGGAACCCTAGATAAAAACCTGGATCAGTACACTCTAATGATATACAGGATGGGGCAGAAGTAGGTTTACAGTTGAGTACATGACAGTTGATTATTGTATTGCCAATTACTGTATTATTTTCCATATGTACAACTGTAAACCTACTTTTGCTCCACCCTGTATATGAAAATATAGCCTGAGATCCATAATGAGTGATATTTATTTGAAAATTGTTCTTGGCTGGAAGTATTTCAGGCAAGTTTCTAACTTAACTTGAATGTTTACATAGTCAGTGTATATGGTATATAGGTGGATGAACTTGATGTTAAAAACAACACACTTCAATGACTATGTGTTCTCATTAACAGCTCCAGCTCCAGCTGCAGTTCCAGTTCCTGGTCCCAAAACCCATCCCTCTGCATCCTCTGGCAAAATGCTCCTTCCACTGTTTGAGACATTCATTATTTTAATCAGTGCTTCTGCTATAAATCTCTTTGTTGCTCTGTAGTCTGATACCTTGATAGTTGAAATACACTACATAGATCCCACAGGAAATGATCAAAAGTACTGTTATATTTTTCACTTGTTGGCCAAAGTCAGTTGATAAAATGAGAACTGTGTATGTTATTCACTTTGCAAATTCAGAAAGTTTATCCAGTTATGTTACAGAATCATTTTCACTTGTGTATTAATCTTATGACTGCAAAAACACTATTTCTGATTGAAAGACTTTAAAATTATTAGCTATTTCAGTAGAATGCCAATACTAAAATATCCAGTGTTAGTAGTTAATGAGTTTAATTTCTGAATTACAATTTTTAGGGGATTTTTAATTTTTCAACAGTTTACAAGTACATTCAATATTCTGTAAATTAGTTTCAGGTATACAACTGTACAGCATAGTGGTTAAACATGTGTATACTTGTGGCCCCCCTCGTTAATAAATTATTGATTATATTCTCTATGCTGTAATTTACATCCCTGTGACAATTCCGTACCTACCAACTAGTTACTTCTTAATCCCATCACCTTTTCTACCTGCTCCCCCAAACTCTCTCTCCTCTGGTAATCAGTAGTCTGTTCTCTGTATCTATAAGTCTGTTTCTATTTTGTTCTTCAGATTCCACATATGTGTGAAATCACATCATATGTCTGACTTATTTCACTTGGCATAACACCCTTTAGGTCCATCATGCTGTGGCAAGACTGAATTAGAATTTTAAAGTTGTTCTGCTCATCTTTGAAGGAATAGACTTTGACTTCCAATAGTTATCTCCCAATATATGAACACTTTGTATTTTTGTAAGCACAAGTTTATCAAGTGATTGACATACTTAATTCCTAACTTGAATCTCATGTTATTCCAGGAAGGTAGAGAGTAAGTACTCTATACGTAGGCTAAGTAAGCAATGGAATATAAATGAAGTTATACAGTATAGTACCATTTCCCCCAAGGTACTGTACTATGGTGGCTAAAGAGAGACTGAGTTAACCCTGGGACTTTGGTAAACTGGCAGTTGTTTACACTTCACCAATGTTTTAAAAAGAATTTAAGGTCACTTTCAAAGCTATAGAAAAACTATATCTAAGTAGTAGGGGTTCAGTGTGCTTTCATTCCACCATTTACTTCTCTTTATTTGAGTGGACTATCCACAAGAACCATTAGCCAGTTGAAGACTAAACACAGAACTTCAGTAAGTTGTGCTGGAGAATACAACTTCGTGCTGAGACTGAAGTGGGCTTCGTCTCTTCCTGCTCACCCAAATCTAGAACTTGGTTATCACTTGGACCACACTTGTAGCAGAGTTCAGTCCTGTCTAACCAGCTACATGAACGAACAAGACCACAGACCCACCTTCCATGTGCAGTAAGTTACCAGTGGGGTCAAAACTTGGGAGGCCTACTGGGCTCTTTTGGGGGGTATTTATTTTGTGAAATTAAATATCAGAACACAAAAAATGAAACGTTAGAGGAGTGACCATGGTGTGTGTGAGTAGTGATTTGTTCTTCAGGGAGTGTGGCTCACTGAATAACAATTCTTACCAGTTAGATCAACAACTCTCCCTGCAGTAAGAGGGTGTGCAGAGGGACAGACACCTTCCACAGCTGGCTATGTGGATGAGGAAGATGGAAGTGCTTTTATTCCTGGTCCAAGGAGAAAAAGAAATTTATCTCCTAGCATTGTTGGAACTGTAACAAAGAGTAGCAAAGTATGGTGAAAGAGGACAGTATATAGAGTAGTATAAGTTTGCATACCATACACTTGGCAAAAGTGGCAGCAGACTTCTAGCAGCTATCTTGGAAATAAAACAATCAGTTTTAAACTCCTAGTCCCCTACACAACTGTTACCTAGTCTGCAACTGGACAGAAATTCTCTCAGTGGGATCTCAGAGGACGGACTCTGGGTATACAGTGCTACACACTTCTTACGATCCCCGTAATAAACACCAGAGTGGCAAGATTCATGCCAAAGCATCACCACATTACAATGTTTAATTCAGGCTTTCTAGTGATTTTACATATTAATGATATATTAGGAAGTTCTCCATCCTAGATGATATCTGAGGGGTTTTTTTCCAAGTCAAATAAACACTGATTATTTTTCTTAGGAGGGAAAAATTAGACTTTAAAACCAGGAAAGACTAAAATTCTTGAATTGTGATAGGCATGAAAAGTCATTCTCCCAGAGCCAAATAAAGCACCAGACAGAATTTTATAAAAGTAATTACACTCAAGAATTTATTTGTTTTCATCTTTTTTAGAAATAAAAAGGTTTAAAAAACAAAAGTTGGCAAAAATGATAAAATGTAATTTTGTTATATCCTAATTGCTTAGGTGTGTTCTGTAAATTCCAAATAAGTAAAATAATATAAAAATATAATCTCAAATCTTTATAGAATGAAAAGAAAACCACATTAATCATTAAATACTCTTGGATTTTTACTCCTCCAACAGATCAATTCACAAATATAAAAACCGATGTACATTCATATTCTAAAGTACAAATCTCCAACAGCCAAGTAGTAATACATTTTATGTGCAAAGTAGATATTGCATATTTACTTGCTATGGAAAGCAGAGTACAGGCTCAATGGAGAATAATCATTAAACACTGATTACTTTTCAGAAAAATGCTTTTCAAAAATGTACCATAGTACATTGTTGATAATTATATACTTCTCAAAGTAAATAACAGCTTTTAGATATAAGTCTTTTAAAGGCTGTTTTTGAAGAGCTGTGAGGTGACATTAAAATCTGAAGAACAATAATTTGTCAGTAACCTTCTCAAAAACCAAGCCAGGAGAGGATTTTCTTTTTTTGTCCATGTGGTCAGTTTCGTTCTTATTGAAAGTTCCATGTAGCAAGAAGATACATTTCACAAACCCTGAACACAAGTTTACAATCTGTCAACTAAAGACACCACCTCTGATGTGGATGGTTTCATTCAATCCATGTTCTACCAATTTTATATCTTCTAGATCATCTTTTATGATGCTAATCAAATGGCTGAGGCCTTCCTGTTGTTGTTTCAAATGCTAGAAGGAATGTAAAAAAATTTATTAATATATTACTGTAATAACTGCAGGCATACCCCCTGGAAAGAGGGCTTTTTTCACTATTTTACTAGCAATACAGCACAGTAGATGCTCCAAATACAGTGGGCATGCACATTTACCTTTTGCTAATAGTTTTTATATAACCTACAGTAAAATACATACTGTAAAAAGCAATAAAATCAAATGAACACTATCTTCAACAGATTTTACAAAAGATGCAGATGTTTTTTAGTCTTAGCCTTTGATAACCTTTGATAACCAAAAGGTGTATTAAAACAATGCAACAAGGTACTCAAATATAGATGACTAGCAAAATAACCATTCTGAAATGGAAAATTTTCATGTTTTGGAGTACAAAGTATATAGTGATGATAATGGTGATAAGTACAATTGCTAACACTTTTTGGTGCGGGGGGGGGGGTACCAAATTACTTTATTTGAAGGAATGGTAGAAGTGGACATGAGTGGGTGACTTGGTACAAGTTATAGAAAAGGTAAAGGCAACTCCAACATGCTTTGGTTACCAGGAAGTCCCTGTGGCTGTGGGAAGCCAGCCTAAAGTTTAGGTCTCTCCACTGTCTCCCAAAATGTGCTTGTCAAAAACACACTCTGCCATGCAAGTTTGAGGGGCTGCCAACCTGCCCATGTTGGTTATGTGGTCACCTAATTCTTTGATGGATTTCACCTGGTCGTCTAAGCAGTGAGTCTCAATGAAGTCTCACAAATAAGGGTCATTTTTTTCAGTGGCCAGTTTGTTCAAGTCCAGTATTGATTGGTTCACGTTTTTTCCAAGTACAATGCACACTCCATTGCATTCAGCCCACTCTTCCACTCATCGTGTTCTGTGTCTTGATATCCTGGAGGAAAATTTGGCCACCTCACTGGTTCTGCAGCTTCATCAGTTTCTCAGCATGTTCTCTCTCCTCACAAGATTGGTGAAGAAAATGCCTGGGGAAGTTCTTCAAAGCCACATTATCGTGGTCAAAGTAGTAAGACAAGGACAGGTAGGTGTAGGAAGTGTAAAGCTCCAGATTGATCTGTTGTTTGATAGCAGCCTCTGAGTCCTCGTGGTAGTTCTGATGCACCTGTGAGGTGGACGTGATGGTCATGACAGGCCATGAAGGACAGATGGCTTCAAAGCACTGGAGCAGTGGCAGGGACCATGGGGCGAGGGAACTATGAGGAGGTGGCAGAAGGATGGATCTGAGCGGTGGCTGGGACAGGGGTCCAGCACCGGGTTCCATTCCAGTGCTGTTGAAGCAGGAAATCACAGGATCTCTCAGGGAAGACTGTCCAATCATTAACTTTGTTAAGTGTCATCCTCGGGTGTTAAGGCAATTTGAAGAGCTTCATGGGTTTTAACTAATTTGAAATTGTTTTGAACAGCTTTTTAGGGAACCCTTATCTCCTCTCCACATACAACCTGAGGTGCAGGTAATAACCTGCTCAAGGTCATAAACTAGGTGATTAGCCATGATCCAATCCCAAAACAATATACTGCTTTTCATCATTTTAGGTAGGTGTTTGTATTATTCCCCACTTTACTGCAGTCACACACTCTTTAATATACACGGTCCAGCACAAATAATGCCCCCTTTTTAATTACAAAAGCATGTAATTCTGTAACACAACAATATCACACTCAAACACATCATATGGCATTTTAGGTGAAATGCTCAAATTAATTACATCCGTATTATTACCTTATCAACCACACTCAAGCAGACGTTACTCCTGCTGAACCCTGTAGTTCTTTATTTCAATATGTTGGAATCTTTCTCAGTGATTTTATTGCAAATATTTACAATGGAATATAACTGTTTGTATGTATAGTTTCCAAGACCCTAGGAGCCAAACTATGCAATAAACCATGCAATTTTAATTACATAAAATGGAAATATCCATTCTAAAGCACATGATAAAATCAGAACTATTGATGACATTTAAAAGCATCTAAAATCCTCAGGGTCATGCTAACAGTCTTACCTAATACAGTCCATGGAATTTACTATATTTTCTTTAGACCCAGTCAATGGTTGGACAGGTTTCATTAAACCAATCTGTATTCACATTAATGAAAATAAGCTAAAGCAGTTCTTCTCACTTTGTTTATGCAATGTGAGCCTTAGACAAGTAGCTGGAGGTTCTTGGCCACCCCAACCTTTACCCAGGACCTCCAAGGGCTGAGGGGATCAATATTTATAATTTATATGTGGCATGCAGGTTGGGAAGATATGATATAGAGCAGTTACTTCTTAATCTTTAATGTGCATACAAATCACTCCGTGACCTTGATAAAATTAAGACATTCTGAAGTAAGTACAGATTCTGGTTTTCTAATGACCTTCCAGGTGCTGCTACCACCTATACATTGAGTAACAAGGTCTTGGGGAAAACTCTGGTGCCTCTATTACCTCTTTATTCATTTTTGGGGGGATGGGAGAAAGAACAATTTACTTATTTTTTATTATGGTAAAATATATGTAACAAAAATGCCCATTGTAAAAACCATTTTATAGATACAGTTCAGTAGCATTTACATTCATGGTATGAAAAAATCATTACCATCTACCTCTAGAACGTTTTCATTTTTCCAAACTGAAATTCTGTACCTATAAAACACCCAACCACATTCTACTCTCTATGAATTGAACTACTCTAGGTACCTCACAGAGGCAGAAACAAAACATATTTATCCTTTTAAACTGGCTATTTCACTTGGCATAATGTCTTCAAGGTTCAAACACGTTAACTGTGTCAGAATGTCCGTCCTTTTTAAAGGCTGACTATCCCACTGTGACTTAACTACCGCACTTTACCAACCTCTTTGTCCATCTATGGACACCTGGATTGCTTCCGCCTTCTGGCTATAGAGAATGCTGCTGCTATGAATATGGGTGTGCAAATATTTTCAGTTCCTGTTTTCAATTCTTTTAGGTATATACCCATAAGTTGAATTGCTGTATCGCATGGTAATTCCTGGTTTAAATTTTTACAAGATTTTATTTATTTTTAAACAGAGGGGAAGGCGGGGAGAGAGAGAGAGAGGGAAAGAAACATCAATGTGTGCTGACTGGGAATAAACCAGTGACCCTTTGGTTCACAGTCCAGTGCTCAATCCACTAAGCCACACCAGTCAGGGCATCGTGTTTAATTTTTTTTTTTTAAATTTATTTATCTTTAGAGGGGAAGGGAAGGAGAGAGGGAGAGAAACATCAATGTATGGTTGCCTTTCATGCATCCCCTGCTGGGAACTGGCCTGCAGGGAACCGGCCTGCAACCCAGGTATGTGCCCTGACTGGGAATCGAACCGCGATTGTCTGGTTCGCAGGCCCGTGCTCATTCCACTGAGCTACACCAGGGCTGCATCGTGTTTAATTTTTAAAGGAACTCTTTTCCACACTGACTGCATCGTTTTACACTTCCTCCAGCAATGCACAAGTGTTCTACTTTCTTCACATCCTTGTCAGCACTTACTATTTTCTGGGATCTTTTTTTTTTAAACAATAGCCATCCCAATGGATTGTGAAGTGATGAGTTCACCTTTTTAAAAAGTGCCCTCTAGTGCAACACCTACCTGCTTAATTTCTCGTAACAGATCTGCATCTATGTAGTATCTTTCTTCAGATTTGACTGCTCCAAAATGATTCTGCATCCTAATTTGGGACATCAGTTCATTAAGTCGGCCCTAAAAATAAGACTGAGTTAAATTACAACTGCTAACAGCAACCACTTCAAAAAGAGAATGTCTCCTTTTAAAAGGACACTTACTACTCTGTTAAAGGTGTCTAATTCACATGATAAGAGTCTACTTTAGAAAGAAAGTTTTTATTAAAGAGAACAAATACTTTAAAAAGTGTACAAAATTCCTCTTTTTGGAGACCAAGTGACATTTTTCTGCAGACCCACCTGACACAAATTCTACATTTATGGTTGTTTAAGTGCTTACCTTAAACTGCGTAGGCGCATTTAGTTCACACTGTATTGTATCTAGCTGAACTCGCAACTGCTCTTCATCAGCTTGGATGGCATAACCACTCTTCCTCTGAATTTCCTGTTTGATTAGGACCTATGTAAAGAATACCCACCGATAATCATAGAATCATCTCTTTTCAGTTAGGCAAGTAATTTTATTACAAGCACTTGTTGAAAGAAATCAAATGAATGGTACACTTACAATACACTGTGAATCTTAGTTAAGATTTGAGTTATGTTTGTCTATTTTTATTAGGTAAGTTACATTAGTATACTGGTATTTTCAGTGGCCATAATTTTTCATGATTAACCAATAATCTAGTCAATTCCCCCATTGAGGGGCATATATTTTGTTTCTAGTTTCGACACTACCAACGATGCTGTATTAAACATTTTTGTACATATGAGGTCTGTCTGGAAAAAGTTCAGCCATTGTTAATATAATGAGAACAGTTTGCACAACATCGATGTAACCTAGCAGCCAAGGAGAGTGGACTGGAATGCCCATGCGTGAACAATGATGACTTCACTGTACTAGTCAGTCGGGGTGGTAGACACTGGTGAGTGAGCATGTGTACTGTGCAGCCATCGATTTCAAAATGACTGAATGAGTACAGCAATGAATCTGCATCACATTTTGCATTAAGCTTGAACATTCCTCTGTGGAAACTACTCAGAAGGCTGCAGCTATGGGCAACCAGTGACTGGCAACTTCATCACAACATGCCCACTAATGCATCGCATCTGTGCAGTTTTTTGGCAAAACATTCAATCACCCAAGTGACTCAGTACCGCCACAGCCCAGATTGGGCGCCCTGCAACTTCTGGCTTTTCCCAAAACTAAAATCACCTTTGAAAGGGAAGAGATTTCAGACCATCAATGACATTCAGAAAAATATAATGGGCCAGGTGACAGCAATTGGAAGAACTGTGTGAGGTCCCAAGGTGCCTACTCTGAAAGGGACTGAGGTGTCACTGTCCTACGTCTGTCACCAATTGGTTGTAGTGGTTAAATTTTTCCCAACCTGATGAGTGTAAAGGGGGCTCACACTTTTTCTTTAATCCTCATTTCCACATTACAAACTGCCTTTACACATTCTTTACCTATATTTCAGTTGTTACTTTTGTCAAATTATAGGAGGTCTTTATATAATATAAATATTTACACTACAGCTAAAATCTGTGCTGTTTCCAAATTCAAATTTGGTTGTTTATTTTTCCCGGAAATCTATCACTTACTCATTGACAAATAGCTCCTTTTTGGTATCTTTTGCTATACAAAATTTTGTAATTCTCATATAGTCAACTTTGTTTTATTTTTTCTGGTGCTCTGACCAAAAGTCTCTCCAAATTCCTAGCCTTATAAATTTCTTAGAGTTAAGTCTTCAATCCACCTTATTTTTGTGTCATGGTGTGATACAGTGGTCCAATTTTTTTGTTCCAGATGGACAGCCAGCTACTCGTTTATTTATTAAATAAACCTACCATGCCCTTTGCTGGTGAGGCTCAATGGATTGAGCCTCAGCCCGTAAACCAAAGGGTCACCAGTGTGAAGCCAGCCAGAGCACGTGCCTGGGTTGCAGCCAGATTCCCGCTGGGGGTGTGCAGGAGGCAACCAGTCAGTGTTTCTCTTCCTGTTTCTCCCTCCCCTACCTCTACAAGTAATAAAATCCTCATCCATCCATCCATCCACCCATCCATCCATTTATCCATCCAACCAACTAAACTCCCACTCCTGTCACATTTTACTGTCTTCCTATTGGCAGATATTAATTCAGATTTTATACTTTCCTCATGACTTTATTCCTAAGTATTTTATAGTTTTTTCATCCTAGTGAAGAGTACTTTCCTGTTTCCATTAGTATTATTTAAAAAAACACTGATTTTGTACATCTTCTTATATATGATTCTAGATATTCTATCATTTACTCTAGACATACAATCATGTCATCAGCAGAAATTTGCTCTCTTTTCCAATGTTTATATTAGTTATTTAATTAGTTATTTAATGCCAGTCACTGGCTGCCCATAGCTACAGCCTTCTGAGTAGTTTCCACACAGGAATGTTCAAGCTTAATGCAAAATGTGATGCAGATTCATTGCTGTACTCATTCAGTCATTTTGAAATCGATGGCTGCACAGTACACATGCTCACTCACCAGTGTTTACCACCCTGTTCATGTATTTTAGAAAAGAGGGAAAGGAGGGAGAGAGAGAGAGACCCTGTTCATTATATTAATGAAAACATCCGAGAAAACATTAATTAATAATACTGGGGTATCAATGTTTAGTTTCTGAATGTGATTTAATACTTTGTTTCTTAGAATATTTACTGCTCACTTTGGTATTAACCTATTTTTCCTTTAATGTTTTGATATAAATTATACAGATAGATTTCCTGTTATACAACCAATCCTGCATTCCTGAAGCAATCCTAACTTAGCTACAGTATGTTCCTTTAGAATATGATAAATAGCTGAATTCTTTTTGCTTATATTTCATTCAGAACTTATGCATTTCTTTTTTGGGGTCAGATTTATTGAGGTATAACACATACAACAAATTCTCCCTTTTTAAGTGTGCAGTCCTGTGAATTTTGACAGCACATTGCGTCACCACAGCAAAAATACAGAGGGAATTCCCATCACCCCAGAAAGTCCCATTCTGCTCTGACAGCCACTACTTCACCTGCACCTCCTGCCGCCAACAACTGCTGACCTGTTGTCAGTCTCTAGTTGTGCCTTTAGCTCAATGTCACTGTGAATGGAATCACACCACTGTAGCCTTTACATTTAGCTTCTTTCACTTAGCATAATTTCCATCTCTAGAGAACTATCTGTTTATAGGTTTTTATAATAAAAATGGAGCACTAAAAACATAAAACAAGATGCAGTTGGTTTGGAAACCCTTTGGCAGTTCTAAAAGTTAAAGGGAGAGTTACCATATGATCAATTCCAATCCTAGGTTTATGTGCCCAGAAGAAATGAAAGCCTATGTCCATGCAAACGCTTGTACACAAGTTGTTAAAAGTAACATTATTTATAATAGGCACAAAGTGGAAACAACCAAAATGTTTATCAATTGACAAACATACATAAAATGTGGTACAATCATACAATGGAATAATATTTATCAATAAAAAAGGAACAAAGCCCTCTTATATGTGCAACACAGATAAACCTCGAAAACACGCTATGTAAAAGAAACCAATCACAACCTTCCCCACTGCTGCCCCTCACATATTATATGATTCTATTTACCTGAAGTGTCCTGAGTAGGCAAATCCATAGACAAAGGGCTGGTGTGTGTGTGTATGTCAGGGGGTTGGGTTTGGCTTGGAATGGGGAGTGACTGCAAATGAGCTTGGGGTTTCTTATTAGGGCTATGGAAATGTTCTAAAATTGTGGTGATGGTTACACCAGACTGTGAGTACACTACAAACCACTGAGTTGTATACTTTAACTGGATTCATTGTATAGTATGTAACTTATATCTCAGTAAAGCTGTTTAAGAAAATGGAGAAGCTGTCTATATTTTTCCTTTTGTCTAGAATAATTAACTTTGGAATTCCCTGTTTAGGGGCTAGATAAAAATCAGCAATGAAAACCATCAGGCCTTGGTGTATTTTCCCAATTAGTAAGTTTCTCAATTGCTTCTATGGTGTTTGTCTATTTAAGATGTTTACCTCTCTGTAGATTAGTTTTGGTAATTTCAGTTTTGCTGAAACTCATCTGTTTTCCTCTGTTGTCCAAATCTGTTGCCCTGAATTTAACACAATATTATTGTTCTGTATATCTGTGATAGCATCTCCTTTCTCACTAATTTTTCCCCCTTCTTCAGACTCATAAGATTTTTTTTCACATTCTTCATACTCATGAAATGTTTAGCCATTTTAATGGTCTTTTCAAATAAGTAGGCTTTCAATTTATTCTTTTATGATTAATTTTTTTCTTTCACTCACTTTACATATTTATTTCTCACTGGTTTCTTTTGGCTTAAGATGAGTACTAAGTTCCTTATTTTTTGTATTTGTATTTTGAAAATGAAGACTTTTTAAGGCTATAAATTTTCCTCTGGGTACAGCTTTTGCTGTATCCCACTGATTCTGGTATATGTTTCTGTTTTCACTATAGTTCATAATTTCAGTTTTTGTTGGTATTCATTCTTTCGTTTTGTCTTGTTAATCTGGACGTTCTATTCTTTCTCCCATCCATTAATGATTATACTCCCTTTTCTAGCACTCAAAATAAAAAATGTACTTTTCTAGTTTTATGAAAACCAAGTATTGAGGCTCTCATGCATGCTTATAGCAAGCATATTTACTTATAGCAAGATGATTTACTTCTTGACTGCTTTCCCCACTGCCTCTAATAAAATGAATTTTAGAATATTTTTGACTTTCTTTACCCAATTCTGTGAGACAGTTCCTTGAACTTCCAGGTATTACTGAGGAAGTCTGCTACTTTCAGTTTTGGTCTATTATTATTATTACCTTTTAGTCTGTTTTTTTCTGTTGCAAAAAAATCCATATTTAGCACTTCTATCACATATCTAGTCTTACAAATGTTGAAAAAAATATCCAGATTGCTACCTGTAAGGTTCTATGGGAAAGGTCCATGAGTTTCCTCTTGTATTGTGCAATTTTGGCCATAGTTGTAGTTTGATTCTTCTGTAATTCACCAATATCTTCGGATATAATCTGTTAAAAAAATTTTTAAAGGTAAATCAAGTATAGACATCACAACTATTTATCAGGTTCACCTATATACAAAGTCTAATTTGTTAAGCTAAGCCTGAGATTCATCTCTCAAAATACAAACTCTTTCCGTTTAAATCTCTTTCTATTTCTTCTCCTCTGAACATCTGAAACTTAAAAGGTACCATTTGCCCTATCTAGTGTGGCTCAGTTGGTTGGATGTTGTCTGTAAACCAAAAGGTCATGGGTTCAATTCCCTGTCAGAGCACACACCTAGGTTGTGGGTTTGATCCCTGATCAGGGTGAGAGACAACCAATCTGTCTCTCTCACATCAATGTTTCTCTCCCCCTCCCTTCCCCTCTCTTTAAAATCAACAAGCATGTCTTTAGGTGAAGATTAAAAATAATAATAAAATTTAAAAATAAAATAAATAAAAAGTACCATTCAAAAATTTCTTTAGAGCTCCAGGAAATTTATTGATGGGGCAAAGTACGTAGAAAAACAAAACATATTCTTCAGAAATAATTAACAAATTTGGTTATAAATCATATAACCAAATACACTTTCATGCCTTCGTATATCTGATTCGCTATTTGCTTGGTTAAAATTCCATACCTCTGCCTGATGAAGTATTAACTTTACAAACTGAGTTAAAATCCTATTTCCTTAAAGCTCCCCAATCAGAATTAATCCCATAATTGCTTCTATCATAATTAATCATTCGATGTCATTGACTTACATTGAGGCATTAAAAGAGGATTTAGTAGATTGTGCAAGATCTATTTTAGCATGTTCACCTGCATGTCACCTTTTAAGGAAACTTTTCAATGTTAGGCCATGCTGAAGAGTTAGCGTTAGGTAAATTAGGTGGTCATATTTTGTATTATGTAACCCACACACCCTCCCCAACCCAGTTAAAAAAGTTATGAAGACTTCTGACACAAGAATATAGCATCCTTCTCTACAAGCAATAACTAAGAAGAAACAGAAATGTTACCATTCCCAGTATTTATTGACAAACACCAAAACAATCTAGGAATTAACCCAAGAAAGAATGCACGGGATTTTTAAAGAGAATGCTTTAAAACTGTTTCAAAAACTAGAAGTCCTAGTCATAGCAATTAGACAAGAAGAATAAATAAAAGGTATCCATATTGTAAAGGAAGAATAAAACTGTCTTTATTTGCAGATGACATGATACTGTACAGAGAACCCCAAAGATTCCATCAAGATACTACTAGAACTGATACATGAATTCAGCAAAGTAGGATACAAAATTAATACCCAGAAATCAGTTGCATTTTTATATGCCAATAATGAACTAACAGAAAGGGAAATTAAGAAAACAACCCCATTCATAATTGCTTCAAAAAGAATAAAATACCTAGCAATAAACCTAATCAAGGATGTAAAAGACTTGTACTCAGAAAATTGTAAGACACCGAAAGGAAGAAAATGAAACAAATAAGTGGAAGCACATACCTTATTCATAGACAGGAAGAATTAACATCATTAAAATAGCTATACTACTTAAAGCAATCTACAGATTCAATGCAATTCCTATCAAGACACCAATGATGTATTTCACAGAAGTAAAACAAACATTTCAAAAATTTATATGGAGCCACAAAAAGCTCTGCATAACAGCAATCTTGAGAAAGAACAAAGTTGGAGGAAAAATGCTACCTAATATCAAACTATACTATAAGGCCACAGTAATCAAAACAGCCTGATTCTGGCATAAAAACAGACATATAGATCAATGGAACAGCATAAAGAGCCCAGAAATAAACCCACACTTGTATAGTAAATTAATATCCAATAAAGGAAGCAGTCACATACGATGGGCTAAAGATAGTTTATTCAATAAATGGTGTCGAGAAAAGTGGACAGATACATGCAGAAAAATGAAACTAGACCACCTTCTTACACCACACACAAGAATAAATTCAAAATGGATCGAAGACTTAAATGTTAGACCCAAAATCATAAAAATCCTAGAAGAAAACACAGGCAGCAAAATCTCAGACACTGCTCATAGCAATTTTTTATCAGATATATCTTCCCAGGCATGGGGGAAAAAGGAAAAATAAATAGATGGGACTACATCAAACTAAAGTATCTGCACAGCAAAAGAAACCATCAACAAAAAGACAACCCACTGAATGGGAGAACACATTCACCAATTATACATCTGATAAGGAGCTAATTTCTAAAATTTATATAAAGAACACAATACTACTCAAAACATACAAATAAAAAAATGGGTGAGTGGAAAAATTCAGACAATTGTACTTGAACAACAATTTTTTAAAAAACGGGCAGAGAGCCCTGGCTGGTGTAGCTCAGTGGAGTAATCAAAAAAATGGGCAGAGGACCTGAATAGACACTTCTCCAAAGAGGACATACAGATGGCCAAAAGACATATGAAAAGATGTTCCACATCACTAGTCACCAAAGAAGTGCAAATTAAACAATGAGATATCACATCACACTTGTCAGGAAGGCCATCATCAATAAATCAACAAACAAGTGCTGGCAAGGATGTAGAAAAAAGGGAACCCTTATGCGCTGGTGGTGGGACTACAGATCCGTGCAGCCACTGTGAAAAACAGTACGGAGGTTCCTCAAGAAATCAAAAATGGAACTGGCTCATTACCCAGTGATTCCACTCCTGGGTATATATATTTAGAAACTGATAACACCAGTCAGAAAATATATATATGCAGTCCTATGTTCATTGCAGAGCTATTCACAACAGCTGAAAAATGGAAGCAACCCAAGTGCCCATCGATAGACAAGTGGATAAAAAAGCAGTGGTGCATATATATAATAGAATAATGCTCAGCCATAATAAAAAATGAAATCACCATTTGCGACAGCTTGGATGGACCCAGAAGGTATTATAAGTGGAACAAGTTAGACAAAGACAAATACCATGTGAGTCACTTATATGTAGAATCTAAAGAGCAAAATAAATGAACAACAACAACAAAAAAGAAACAAACTCATACAGAGATTGGACTGATGGTTGCCAGAGAGTAGGTGTTTTGGGGACTGGGTGAAAAAGGTGAAGGAATTAAGTACAAATTTGTACTCACAAAATTGTCACAGGGATGTAAAGTACAGCATAGGGAATATAGTCAATAATATTGTATTAACTATGTATGGTGCAAGGTGGGCACTTGAAACATTGGGAGAACCACTTTCTAAAGTTTCTGACTGAAAGTAATATAAAATAATACTGAATGTAAAATATAATTGGAGAAAACACGACAATATGCTGCATTACACTGGAAGCAGGCTCTTGTCTCATGCTTACCACATCATTTGCTGACCACATCTTCCTCTCCTGTGCTTGATTTAATCTCATGTCCCTCTTGCACAGTAACTACTACACAGGCTTGTAGCCTAGAAGCAATAGGCTACACCAGACAGAGGTAGACTAGATGTGTCACAGGCTATACTACACCACCTACATTTGTGTAAGTACACTCTATGACATTTGCACGAAGTTGAAATTGCCTACGGACACATTTCTCAGTGGCACACGGCTAGGTAGGTTAAAAGTAAAAGGAAAGCAAAAGATATACCATACAAAGCTAGGGTGGCCTTATGTTAATATCAGAGAAAGTAGACTTTAGAGCAAAGAAAATTACCAGAAACAAAAAGGGACATTATATAATAATTAAAGGTAAATATGCCAAGTGAATGTAACAATCCTAAATACGTATGTACCTAACAACAGACCTTCAAAATACATGAATCAAGAACTAAAAATGAGTCCTGACCTGTTTAGCTCAGTAGATTGAGCGCAGGCCTGCGAACCACACGATCGCAGTTCGATTCCCAGTCAGGGCACATGCCTGGGTTGCAGGCCAGTTCCCAGCAGGGGACACATGAGAGACAACCATACATTGATATTTCTCTCCCTCTCTCCTTCCCTTCCCTTCTAAAGATAAATAAATAAAATCTTAAAAAAAAAAGAACTAATAAAATGAAAAGGAGAAAAAGACAAATCAACAATTACAGCTAGAAACTTCAACTCACCTATCATGACAGAACTATTAAACAAAAAATCAACAAGAATACAGAAGAACTGAATTGCCTATCAACTGGATTTCACTCATGTTAATAGAAAACACCGCCCTGGCTGGTGTAGCTCAGTGGATTGAGCACCGGCCTGCGAACCAGACAATCACGGTTCAATTCCCAGTCAGGGCACATGCCTGGGTTGCAGGCCGGTTCCCTGCAGGCCAGTTCCCAGCAGGGGATGCACAAAAGGCAACCACACATTGATGTTTCTCTCCCTCTCTCCTTCCCTTCCCCTCTAAAGAAAAATAAATAAGATCTTAAAAAAAAAAAAAAAGAAAGAAAACACTACCCAAGAATAGCAGAATACACATCTTTTTCAAAGGCATGTGGGTTAAAAACCTTAACAAAGTTAAAAGAATTGAAATCATACAAAGTTCTCTGACTGTAAAAGAACTAGACTAGAAATACACAACAGAATAATAGGAAAATTTCCAAACACTCTGAAATGAAAATACTTCTAAATAATCCATTAGTCAAAAAACCCAACAATCAAATAGAACTCTCAGGGAAAATCAGAAAACAGTTCAACGGGATCACGACAAAAGTGTAACATTACCAAAATTTGTGGGACTCAGGTAAAGCAGTGCTTCGAAGGAAATTAATAGCATGAAATGCTTATATTAGAAAAGACAAAAGGCCTCAAATTAATATCCTGTTGCTACCTTAAGAAACTTAAAAACAAGAGAAAAATAAACCAAAAGCAAGCAGAATAAAGGAAATGGTTAAGGGCAGAAATTAATAAAATTTTAAACAAAACTAAAGAAATTAATGAAAACATAAGATGACAAAAGGTCCAGAAATAATGTCACATGCAAAACCATGCTGGAATTTCCAGCCAGTAAAAGGAATAGTAACAGAAAGGATGAGTGACTATGATGTTCAATTACCTACAGAGCTGTCACAAAAAGAACAGCAGTCACCTACAAAGAAACACCAGAGCAAACGCCTGCGAAGTACAAGGCAGATGCGGGATCAATGTAAGAAAGGGAACTTGTATCAACTAGAGTTAGCTGACAGTGTAATGAATGGGCTGATCCATAAACAGTAAGCTTTTCATTACTCAGACAGAAGCCAAATGATCAATCTCAGCAGGAATTCAATGTAAGAATTTGGAGGTGACCTTTAAGAACCTTTAGATATTTGATTACAAAAGTCTACTTTATAAAATAAAATATTACCTAGATTTATGCATTCAGTAATTTAAATCTGCTCAATTAACCTATAATTACAACAATATAATCATAATTATAGCCTTCATTTTTATTATAAGGTCCTGTAACTTTTATTTATTAAATAAATACTATACATTCTCTGTCTGGAATTGGAAATGAAAGTCTAACTTGATAAGCCAACATTTTTTAATTCATCAATGAAATATAACAAAATAGATTTACATGATTTTGGAGACTCTACATTAAAGGAAGTTGTATAATACTATAATTGTTAATTTGCAGCACACACTACACTGTTCCCTCTAGGACAAAATAATAACTAACAGACATGGTAAAAAGAAATGTCTGTGGTCCCTTTTACTCCTCCCAGGGCCAGAGAAGGAAAATAAATGCTTACATCTAATCTGGTTTGATGTTGCTTAGTCATCTGATCTTGAACCTTCAGTCTTCGAAGAAGTTCTTTGAAACCCACCATTGGTACAGGAATTAACCTGAAGAAATTCAAGTGGTCAATTTTCAGACCTTACATCTAATATAACAAAATATAAGAAGTTAATAAAGTTTTTATAATAATATTCATATAACTTCACATTAAATTTGTAGAGTTTAATGGTAGATCTATGACTATGAAATCAACAATGTATTACCATGAAGATTTTATTCAACCTCCCTATTTTACAAATGAGGAAATATAGTTTAGTAAAAAGCTGTGTTATTAAATGCAAATATGATTAGGATACTGGTAGTCAGATTTCAATGTTTTCACATTATGCTGCCTTACAATAGTCAACATTTTTAAAAAAGCAATAGAAATAAAAATGAACTCACCTAAAATGTAAGAATTATAATGAATAGCTTGCATTTGTTTGCTTTCCTAGTAGCAAATATAAGTTCTTATATGAAAATATAAGTTCTTATATTAAAACAAGATAAAGATACACTTACTTTTCAGGATCAGGGTTATCCACCTTGGCTTGTTCCCAGATAATAGGATCAACACCTACCACAAAGAAGAAATATTTTTTCTAAACCAATTATTTTCCAGCTTTTTACCTGTATGAAGGGCATTCCCAAAGTTAAGACACAAAACCCATAAGCTGTAATGAAAAATGGCTATTAAATATGACCAACACAAAAATAAAAATTTTTGTAAGATAAAGCTAAAAAAAAAGGTGTAAATAGGTAAGAAACTAATATAACCTATAAAACAGATTAACCTTCAGAACATAGAAAAAGCTCCTATAAATCAGAAAGGAAGACAAAAAAAAACACAATAGAAAGAAAATAGGTAAAGGACATCAGAAAATCTTTCATGATGAGAACACATTCAGGTTTTACTTGAAGACTCAGTTAAAACAAGAGATAAACTAGAAAAAAATTAAAAATATATTGAGTACATTACCTTTGGGTAGATGGATTATAGACTATTTTTCTTTAGTTTGTTATTTCCCAAAATTTCTAGTAACATATCAGTTATGTAATAATAATAAACTAGAATGAATTAAAAAAATAAAAACTATGTCCCAAATAAGCAGATATGTGATAAGCTGACACTGGTTTCATTAACATGAATAAACACCTCCAGATCTTTCATTTCCTCAACTCCATGAGTAGAGAAACATACCAGCAGGAGGATTCTGTAAAAGCTGTTTGATCTGTGCAGGAGAAAGTTCTGTTCTAGTCATGGACAGGGTTACACCAAGTTGCTGCAGCTGTGTTTTTATATTGGTTTGTTCAAAATGGGCATATAGTGTGGTAGCTGGAACTCTTCTTGAAGTACCGTTTGGAGAACGCTCAATAACATAAATGACAACTTCTGTCCTGGGGGAAAAATAACCAAGTTATAAAATATGGAGCATATAACTTATAGTGACAGTTATCAACAAAAAAAAACCGCAACCCGCCTGACGAGGCCAACCGAGCCCCAGCACGTGATTTTAAAAGCACGTTAGCTGAACTAAAAAAAAGGCTGCTTTAGAAGGGAATTAAAACTTTTTTCTTTAATCTTGAAAAATAAACTCTTAATGTTCTGTTCACTTAAAAATCAACTTAAGTGATAAAGAGACAAGTTATTTGTAAAAGGTCTGCTTATCTACAAAGTTCTAGGTAAATATCATTTATTATTTTTTCTAGATTTGAGAAGTACTTTGGAGATTTTCTTGAAGCTTATGGGTTGCTTTACTATGATTTAAGACTAAGAAGTAAAATCTGCTTTCAGTTGCATCCTAAAGTAAATGTCTTGCCACTAAGTACGAAAATTATAGACAAGGAAAGTTAATCAATCATATTTACCCATGAATAAACATGAATAGTAATCAGTTAAAACTTTCCTTCACAGATAGACACAGGATAAAAGCTATGGGTGGGAAGTGGGATAATTAAAAGGTGGAGGGACCGAGCAAAAGGGGAAAAAGGGCACATGAACAACAGTGTGGGGATTGTAATTGTGGCAGGGAGAAGGGGGTTGTTGTAAGGGGGCTAAATGGTAATGGAAAAAATACAATAAACTTCTTTTAAAAAACAAAGGTGCTGTGAACATTACACAGGTTTTTGTATAACATAGGTTTTCATATCTCTGGAATAAACATCTAAAAGTGCAACCCCCCCAAAAAAACAAATCCCAAAACTTTCCATTACTGTTTTTGTGGCCCTTGGTATTCACATAGCCATGGCTAATATCTCTTCCTATTTCTAAGAGAAAAATCTAAATTATTAGCATCTAATAAGTTATAAAATCCAAGATTTTTTTTAAAAGCTTTTAAACGTTTCCACATAAACACTGAAAAATCACTAGCTAACAAATAATTATTCTGCTCTGAAATTTAATTGGGGCTTTAGCAACAAAAACACTTGATCACTCTCAGGCCCAAGGCACACAGAAATAAACAGTGTGTTTATCGTATACTTACTGATCATCTGGCAATGTTTTGATACCCTCTACATTAACTGTAAGGGTCTGGTTTCCTCCCAAAACTTTATGCAACGATTCTACCAACTGCTGTTGCTGGCTTCGAATATCTGTTTCTTTTTTGTTGAAAACTAACACCACTAGCCCATCTTCATCTTTATTATTGGGCATACAACTATAACCTACCGCCTGTGGGATGACAAAATAAATAACATCAATAATATGTACAGATCTTAAATCAAGTATTTAATATTAACGGCTTCATATCTGCTAAAATGGGGAAAAGCTTCATATCTCGTAATGAGGGAAATAATGATTCTTACCTCCTAGGAGGTTACACAATTAATTATAAAGAGAAATTCTTTTACCCCAGAATAACATATAGAGTGAAATTAAAAATTCCTCAACCGAATAACTAAGCAGCTTTTGCCTCTGAAAAACTTGGATACGGAGCTCTGGGAGCTTCTGCACACAGCTGAAACCACTCCTCCTGTCACCGAGAGTGAGTGCTGAAGTCACAGACCGAGATGCAAGTTACTCTACTATGCACTAGACTCACAGAGTCTGAAGTCTGAGATATGACAAATTATCCTTCTAGAGAATTACTCTTTTAGATAGCCTTTTTTTCCTTTGTTACCACTTAAAATTCAAGTTTGTAAAAAGAATTTAAATTTATTCTAGATTAGTTCATTATGCATTTTACCATATGTATGTTATCAACTTAAAAAAAGAAAAAGATTGTTATATTTTAATAAAATATCATTTATTATTTAATGTGTTATATTTAACCTATGTCTACTGTATATGTCTTAGTCACTAAAAAAAGGTTTTAAATTTTCAAACACATTAAAAAATCCTTTTTCTTAACAGTGGTAAGATAAAAAGATGTTCTTTAACAAGATCGGCTGGTAACTTCTGTTGTTTAACCATGTTCAGGGGGCTGATTCTAGGCTTTGAGCTCCAAACACAGACTTATGTACACATTGATTAGGTTTAAGAGACTGACATAGGCCCACAAAACTCAAACGAGGCTGAAGCAAACTGGACAGCAATGCATTAATTTGTTATAAAAACACACCACAAGTTGACCTAAATACTCTCATGGGCTGAGGAACAGAATCTGAGAAGTCAGATTCAAACGGGAAGGTTGTTTGGTGGCCATGGAATCAGAACAAAGAAAACAGACTGCACTGTTTTAATGGCTTTGGCGCTGAGCTATAATAGCTACAGTAGGAATCTACATGCCAAGTAGAACAGACACTCCTGTATGCTGGTTAGGGTGTACTTTTCTGGACAGTGTTAGACAAATACCACTAAATTCTAGTTTTAAGTCTCCCTTTAATCTTGGATGCCAAGCAAATCTTTCCCCTTTTGTTGACGTTTTTCCCTCAGTTATAAATTACATACTAGTCACACCTTCTTTCAGTTATATTCTGGTCACTTTCAATCACATATATGTATGATCACTTCAATCTTATAATTTTTGTATTTTTAAAACAAAAGCAAATTGTACCATGTTCAAGGAATACTGAATAACCAAGCAATTATTTTCTCGGTATTGCTTTAATTCAAATATCATATTCTCTCATATACACTCTTCAAGTACAAATACCTTAAATCGGCAAAAGGGATTTTCTTGTGTGAATTCCACTGGTGGAATATTATTGTTGAAATAGCCTTTTCCTGTTCCCCAAAAGGCCTGCAGTTGATTCCATTTCGCTAAAATAGCATCTCTCTCGTCTCCTAACAGCGTTGGAGCAGAAAGAGCACTCGCAGTGTTTATGAGTTGGTTGGACTGGGTGGGAGCTTGTGTAGGCTGACTGAAGAGACCACCTAATGCTAAAAATACAGCCCAAATTAGTATTAAAAAAATCAATTCAGATCCTAGGTATGGTAGGCAGAACAGTGATTCCCCCAGAAAAAGATGTCCACATCCTAATCCTCAGAACCTGTAAATGTTAAATTACACAGCAAAAGGGACTACTGTGGGAATTATCCTGGATATCACAGGGGACTCAACATAATCACAAGGGTCCTTAAAAGGGAAGTCAGCATCAAAGTGAAATCTGAAGATAGAGGAAGGAGCTATAAGCCAAGAATCCCAGGGAGTCTAGAAGCTGGACAAGGCAAAGGAACAGCCGCTCCTCTAGAACCTCCAGAAGTCACACAGCCCTGCTGACGCACTGGTTTTAACCCTGTGAAGCCCGTTTCTGGATTTTGGAGCTACAGAACTGTAAGACAATAATACATAGGACAATCCTTACAATGTTAAACTTGCTTTCCTAATGATATCATCTCAGTACAATTAACTCCATTATCATAAATCAAATTAGGATCCATGCTATTTAGAGCCACACCAAAAAAATTAAAAAGCACAAGGATATGAAAAAGTAAATTTCATGAAGTTGCAAAATGATCTTTAAAACAACCTTTATTGCTATTATACTTATATAATAAATACAAATTAGATACATAATAATCATTATATGAATGTTTATCAGTATTAGCTTAATAAATGCTTTTCCTTCTCTTATTTCAAAGAAATATATAGTGAAAAGAACAAATGGACTAACCATAGGATTCTAGGACAAAGCTTTAGCTGGCTTTGTAACTTGGGGCAAGTTGCTTAACCTCTCTGTGTTACAATTTCTCCAACAGAAGGAAGGGTGAAGTTGTTATATCATCAATATTTCCTAAGTGCAAGACAAGTGAGTACCCCCGGTATATGATATTGCTGTCACCCAACAGCTGCGTTACTAAACGAACCATCCACATAACAAAAAATTCTCTTTTAAAGTCTCAGTTTGGTGCCAGTATGCCTCTCATGTTTCATGACACCTGCCATCTCACTTTTCAACAAAGGGCTGATCAAATCTAAGGCCCAGGGCTTTAAGCAAAAACATCTGGCTAGAATTTATTAACACTATTGTATTTTCTTTGTACTCACTTTTTCAATATGGATTTTAGAGAAAGGAATGGAGAGAGAAACATTAATTGGTTGTCTCTAACATGTGCCCTGACTGGGGATCGAACCTACACCCTTTGGGTGTATGGGATGATGCTCCAACCAACTGAGCCACCTGACTAAGGCTCTTTGTACTTAGTTTTGATTATTTTTACTTCAAAGCAAATGACACTGGTTTTCCAAGTATAGCAAGAAATACAGCACACAAAGGAATATGTTAAATTATACCACAGGCATGCAATTAGTCAAGCCTTGACTTAAAAACTCTATTGGACAAATAAGCTGATTTCTTCAACAAACCGAATAAAAAAGAAAGCACTAAGAAAGGAACTTAGAGAGAGTTAAGACAAATAAAGCAATACTATTTACACTCTTAGTGACAAAATTATAAAAGGAAGTGATTAGGAGGGCAATGTGGAGGGCTTCTGAAGTGGCTGGCCAGGGTCCACCTCCTGACTAAGTGATCACAGGGATGGTCACCTTACACATAATTCATCAAGCTGTACTTTTGTGTAGTTTTCCTTTTTCTTTTTTTAGCAATAACAACAAAACATTTCAATGGAATGGTACTAATCCCGATCATGTCAATCAGTCTTCTCCCCAACTGTTATGATCATATACACAAGAAGTAGCTTTTGGAATGCTGTGGAATATAATATTTATAATTCTTTTAAAAAAGTTATCCAGCCCTGGATGGATAGCTCAGTTGATTAGAGCATTGTCGTGATACACCAAGGTTGTGGGTTCGACCCCTAGTCAAGGCATATACAAGAAGCAACCAATGAATGCATAAATAAGTGGAACAACAAATCAATGTTTCTCTTTCTAAAATCAATTTAAAAATAAATAAAAATTGAAAATAAATTATAGTTATCCACTACAGTGTTCTGAACAGTGCACTCAATAATGTTACTATACTGTTATAATTTTATATTGGAAGTAAACCGAAAACCTCACACTTACTGGTTTGTTGCTGTTGCTGCTGCTGGGTATTAAATCCTCCAAATCCCAGTCCAGTTCCCAAACCAGTACCTAAACCAGTACTAGTTCCAGTTGTGCCAAAACCAGTACCAAATCCAAAACCTTTGTTCTGAGTACCACCGAAGAGTCCTTTAAATGAAGAATTGAAATTGCGTAAGTAAAAAAAAAAAAAAATCTGACTTCTACTGCTCACCCCATTTACTGCTACAAATGACTTAGATTGTCCTCTTACCAGTAGTGCCTGTGTTAGTTGGTGCAGAAAAGCTGAACGCAGAACCTGCTGTTGTAGCTGTTGTCCCAAATCCTCCGAACCCACCTAATTATAAGCAGATAAATAAAATAGAAAGGAAGAATCTTTTGTATACATGAGGTGATTTCTTCTCCAAATTATTTAATAATTGCTACATATCAAAATATACTGATCTAATTTTCATTTCTCTACTTTCGACATCATTATTTTTCCCATAAATTACTTTATTGTTGTTCAATTTCAACATTATTTAAAAAAGAACTATTCTATTGTACTAATCAAGAAGTACATGTTACAAGAAATAAGTGATTAAATATTTAAACTGGAATACCACAATGCAATATATACCCTTCAACTAAAGAAGTGATTAACAGTTACAGCTGAGAAAACATGTTAAGCCTATTGCCGTTATATTTAACAAACTCTAAAATGGCTACATATGTACTTTTACAGTATGGACTGCAAATTCAAATGCCTGTAAGATTTAGGCTGCTAACACTATGAGTGGTGGAATTGTTGGATGTGAACAGTTCTTTTAAATGGCAGCAGTTCCTAAATTCCAGCAGACCACTGCTGTAGGAGAATGGCAGTTTACAAGTGTTATATACTCTCATTTTTCCCAAAAGAAATAGGTCTAGACTTTCTTCATAAAATACAGAAATTTAAACCTAAATTCAGTTGCCTGATTTTTTTTTTCAACTAATTCACATGTTTTTTAAATAGTGTGCCAAAAGATCATAATGGTAGAGTGTGTTGTTAGTTTGCACCCTTGGCTTTGGTCAATTAGTTTATATTCTACTCTAGCTTATATTCCAACTTAGTCTCCACTGAGACTAGGCAACTTTTCAGAGAAAACATACCAGCACAGTGACCTCTGTACAACAAGAATGTGTTTCTTCAAGAAGGCATAAGGGAAGAAAACCCAAGTGGAAGGCAGTGGCTGGGGAAGTAGACAGAGCTGTCATAGGCCTCTATGTGATATCTATCACAATTTGGCAACTCTGACATATACAAATTCCACTTCTGGGTAAGTCTAGAGACAAAATTACTCTTAACTATATCTTAACTTGACAGATGAATAGAATGGAATATTACCCAATCTAAAATTATTTCATGTTTCTCCCTTATTTTCAGTCTTTCCCTGATTGCCAATGTGGCATCAAAAAGACTTTTTTGTTTGAACCATTAGTGCTCTCTGAGCTCTGCCACAAATTTCCTGGGAGTCGAACTTTTAATTCCATATATTTCTGGTATAAGAGACAGAGATTCTCCAACATTGTAACATCAAAAATATAAGAAAAAACCCCAATCCTCTGATATTCGTATACAAGTCTGACAGGGAAAATCACCAGGAACAGGCTGCATACTGCGTGCAGTCACCACCACTGTACTCTCTTGTATGTTCTACTGCAGCACTGCAAACATTTTTTGATAAAAATCACCTAAGTGCTGATGACTGTTCTTAATCATTTTCATTTCTCCTCACTTTCATAGCAAAACTATTAGATACATTCTGAATTGGCTACATCATAAAAACATCAGTCAGGATCTTATCATGTGCCTTAATGCCAAAAGTGTTTATTATTAATAGTAATCTGCAAGGACACAAAATTAAAAAGTAGACAAAAAATTCTATCAGTCCTTTGCTGAAGACAAAGTTAATGAGCATATGTATATAAAAGTAATTAAAAGAAGTTATATTATCACAACTTGAAACTTAACAGTGATTAACTCCAAATGAATATGAAATCAAGCAAATACCAACAGATTCATTTATTGTTGGTGAATTACAACTGGGTGGTTTTATCTAGAAACACAGATTTGAAAATAATGTTTCTGTTTTACCCAGTGCCAATTTTAAGCAAACAGGAAAAATTAAACATACCAAATGACAGTAATTGTGATTTCTTTAAACATAGCTTAATGATAATGGATTATTTTATCTTTGGAATTTTCAAGTATTCTTTAACACGTTTTCAATCAGATGCCAAAGTGGTACTCACATTATAGTAACAAATGACTGCACAAAATACTAGACTTCTCAAGTAGGTTGTAGGGAGTAAATAAGTTTTAGGGAATACAATTTACCAAATGCATATAATTGGCATGGGCATAAGTGCTATAATGTAAGAAAATATGGACAATAAATTCATATACGAGCAGCTGAGGAACAAGACTTTTCTATAGGGTCATGGTACATAAAGTATACATAGACCTATTTTAAATTTAAATATAGACACACATATTATAGTTTGTGTTTCACAAATTTTTCAATGAACTTCAAACAATCCACCAAAAGAGTAAAATCTTCATAATTATAGTTTTGAATACAAAGATCTCTAACCTATCTTTCAGAAGTCAATGCTGACAATAGATTGCACTCTGATCATTTTGTAAATTTTCCAGGAAAAGAATTGGGGATTCTTTCTATAATTACTGTACATATCCTATAGAAATGTATACTAATTTGTTGGGTTGAAAAAGAAATGCATTATTATTATACGGGTTAAAAAACAAGACAGGTCACTGCTGTTCGTATAAGATTTGTTCTCTTGGAAAACACAAGGACAGTCAAATGAAATTCCAATGAAAGATGTAGGAAAAAATGAAAAAACAAAAGTGACTGCAGGAGTCCAAGAATCCCAAGAAAATGGGCCTGACTGCTGAGTTTTTACTTTGGGAAAGATATCTAATAATTTGGAAGACATATTCTACTCAAAAATAATAATCCATTCCAAATTCTTACCACCTGAAAGTTATATTCTGTTCAACTCAATACAAACTTAAAAAAGGAACATTATAACTTCCAAGACTTCCCAAAACCAAATCTTTTATGGTAGTCAAAACTTGATAAAATGTTATTGATTCGACATTAAAAGATAAATTTCCTTTCCTTATTAGACAAGTCGCTGTTCTTACCCAAACTCTGGGAATCAAAATATTCTTGGACTCCAGCTCCCAACATTCGTTACACATACGACCCGCAGTATCTACCTGCACTTGCCAGACTGTTACCAAAATTGAACGGAGTCGCCGAGGTAGTAGGAACACCGAAATTCCCAATATTAAAGTTCACTGCAGGATTAGCAGTTAATCCGAAACCCCCAAAATTAAACCCACTGGCGGTGGAGTTGGCAGTCTCAAGCCCACCAAATCCTGATAGGCATGTAGGCAAAAAATAAAAATAAAAATAAAAAATAAAAGGGGAAAGGGGGAAGAAGAAAAGAAAGCAAGATAGGATTAGAAGAGTATGCAGGAAGTTTCACGGAAGTGAACAAAAGACAAACCTTGACTTTGCTCCAAACCAGGTCAGAAAACGGAGGTGGGGACAGGAGGTAGGAGCCAGGAGCTTAAAGTTCCCTGGGGGAATCCCTCGAGGGCTGGGAATGGAGGAACCTTAGGGCAGAGCCAGGGTCCCCCAGACCTATCCTGTCCCTGGCCAACAGCGGGGTGCACGCGAGCGTTCCCGCCACTACTAGAAGCTTAGGTGCGGAGGGGAGGGCGGGTCTCGGGAAAGGAAGACAGGTAGCTAGCTGCCTCTGGTCTCTCCTACTCCCCGGCGGCGGGAAGCGAACTTTAGGAGGTCAAGGCCTGGCTGGGAACCGAGCGCAAGGAGCGAGATCCGGGTTGGGCCCCGAGTCCCCTCGCGGCCTCATCTGGAGCCGCCCCGGCCGGTTCTGCTGCCGCCCGCCCTTTTCCGAAGCCCTAAAGTCTCCGTGCCGGCAGGGAACCTCAGGAACCCCAAGCAGGAGACTCTGGACCGAAGCGGACCAGAGACCTCCCCTGGTTCCCAAGAGAAGGTCCGGAGGGATCACTCACCCGCGGGGGCTGCAGTGGCCGCAGCGGTGCCCGAGGTGCCCGAGGGAGCCCCGAAGTTGAAAGCCATGTCGCGGGAGCAAGGAGCGGAGAAGCCGCTCCCGCGACAGTCGGTGCACTCCCCTTTTTGATCCGGCGGAAAATTTGCCAGATCGCGCAGTTCCGCCTCTTTCCTGGCCTAGCCTATGAGGCCGGAACGCCGGAAGGACACGGAGGGTGGAGGAGGGAGAGCGGGCGCCCTCGGTCCGACTAGTTCCGGGGGCTTTAGGGCTTCCTGGGGCGTAGAGAGTCACCACCCACGTGAAAAACTGGAAATCTAGAGGAGATACCGCTTGAAGGCCCTTAAAAACTACTTTAGTGAGGTCCCTTGGGAAAGATGTGCAGAAAGTCTGTGTAATGAAGAAAGGATAAGAACCGAATTCTTATTCTCCGTTGCTAAAACTGAAAATTCAGGAAGCAGTGTGTTATGTAGTCGTGGAAGTAAAATTTTTAAAAGGGGGGGCAGAAGTGGTGCCTCTAAAAATGATATCTCTGTATGTTTTTTAATATAACAAACCTTGTAGATTACTTGATTCTTAAATCTATGTGCTTGTATAGCTTTAATAAAAATAAATCCATTGTATCTATCAAAATTACAATTGCCCTTAGACCTCAAAACGCTATCTTGTAAATGATTTGGCAGGATTATGGAATACAAGGCTACTCATCACAGCATTGTTTATAAAAACAAGATATTGAAAACAAACGGGTTTGCCTAAATAAATTTATACAGAGGGACCCAATGCAGACATGAAACGGGAAGTGTAAATTACAGGAAAAACAATTTAGAACATCGTATATGGTATGCTACAATCTAGGTGAAAAAAAGAGGGCCAGAATATGTAATACCATATTTGTATATGTATTTCTTGGAAACATTCATATTGAAAACTGACTTGCCTCAGGGAAGATGAAGTAAATGGCTAGGAGATAGATAGAAGAATTTTCATTGTAAACTTTTATGCCTTTTGAAAATGTAAACTGCTTACCTATTCAAAAAATTAAATGATGCTCATAGTGGTGACTGCAGGAGTCCCAGGGAGCTTTGGTAGTGGGTTGAGGACAGCAAGAGCAGACACTGGGAAGCATATGAAGCCCCTGAAGAGTGACTGGATGTGGAGGGGAGGGAAGGGAGGAGTCTAGCAAGAGTGTCTGGTCTCTGGCTTTACAGCTGGGTAAATTGTGATGCCATTCCCCAGTCATGGGAATTTGGGAAGAAGACAAGAAAAAAGTTAATTCCTTTCTTCACTTGCTGGATGTGAAGACAACCAGGCTGAGGATATCTATCAGGTGGGTTGGATATGTGAGGTTGATGTTGAACAAAGCATTCATTACCATTGTCAGAAAGGGAGTATCAAGTCCAAAAAGGTTGCAGCTGAATATCAGTATCAACAAGAAGTGGCCAGAGATAAGAAAAGAAGCAGAGAGTAGAATCACAGAAACTAGGTAGATTATTTGGGAGGAAGCACCGGGGCCTGGGTGAAGAATGTGAGACAGGAATGAAGAAATAACAGGAACCAGTTCCCACCATGGGCAATCCTAATTGAGGAACCCTGTAGAATGAGCCTGAGCACTGTCCCTTTGAGAACTGGAACATTTATCAGCTTTCTCCTGCCTCCCTTGGTTTCAGCATGTCCCTGGGGGTTTTAGCTCCCCATGCTCCTGAGGGGCTTCCAGCACTCTGGAGAAAGTCCTGAGGCAGAAAAGCACACCATGGAACCAGCTTGAAATGGGACTTGTCTGGCTGCCCATAACTGTCCACTACAATTGAACTGAAATCAGAGGTGGCCCAAGGTGTGACTCAGGCCTGTGCTGAACAAGAGGGAAAAGTGTGTCTTTCAAATAAAATCCATAGACAACTGGACATCTGATGACATAACATAATTTACAGCGCAATTTCATATAAATGTTTTTTATTAGTGAAATACTTCATTGAATGAAGGGTAGAAATAAACATGTCAAGAGTTACATGAAATGAACCAACTACACAAGCTACATTAAGAACATTCAGGTCAGTATTCTCTTTAATAGCCACACGCAATTAACTCCAGTAACACTCAGGGGGTCAAGCATGAAGGTCAACTTTTGCAGAACTCCTTATCTCTAGCAATGTAAATAAAAAATTAGCCTCCCTTAAGTAAAAATTGTGATAGGGGTTAGTTATGCAGTACTTGCTCCACTTGACCATTAGTGACTATTAGTGAGGAAATAAAGCCTAGGGAAAAACCCTGGAGCCAAAGGTGGCCATGCCCACTTCCTGTCCTGTGTTCAACTCCCAGTTTTCCCTGAGAAGTGAGGTAACCTCTCTGGTTTCTCCCTAAGTTGAGTATCCTAGTACCAGACGCTGGTATTCTGTGATTTAGCGACAATTGCAAAGACTCTGGGGGCCTTTCCAGGAAAATGGCTCCAAGAAAGTAAAGATGAATAGTTTGTTATTTTCAATCTAAAGTCAAATAGCTGGTACGGTCTTTTTTAACCAATCTATAACTTTGACAGCAGTATACAGGTTTGCCACAGACTTCTCTGAAGGAAAATACCAAATGTGAAAGCCAAGTAACTATATTAAGAATTATATGGGAAGAGTATGTTTTTGGTCTCCCCATCTGTGTGGGATTCAGTCTCAAGGTCTATATCATTAACTGTTATCATTCATAGTACTTAAAAATGTCCTCAGAAATTATTATACCCTGATGATAGCATGAACTAGTGAGTAAGCACTGGCTTATCCGTTCTAGTAGTGTGGCTAAGTGGATGCATAAAAAATAATATATGCCATTAACAGCAACCTAAACAACAAAACAAACAAACAAGCAAAATATAACCAAAGACGCTGAAATAGAGAACAGGCTGACAGTGTCCAGAGGGGAGAGGGAAGGGAATTTCAGGGGGAAAGGGGAAGGGTTTGCAGGAACAAGTATAAAAGACACATGGACAAAGGGGGGGGATGGAAATGGGAGGGAGCAGGAAGGACTGTGGGGGTGGGCTGGGATGGGAGTAAAAGACAGAAAACTGTACTTGAACAACAATTAAAATAAAAAAATTTTTAAGTGAAAAAAATAATATATGCCAATTATTTTTGCCAGACAACTATACAGGTTTCTCAATCAAAAATGAATTTCAAATTTTGAACTTCGAGAATTAAAAAATAATTGTCTTTTACTCTGCTTGAATCCTGTGACATATGATGGTTCCCAGTCCCCTGACTTAGCTTACACTGAAAACCACTTGAGGTCTTCTGAGGACAGACGACTCTGCTTCTGGTCCCAAGGGACCTTGAAGCACTTTCTGAGCAATATTTTAAAGACACTGTTTTCTGTCAGCAAGATGATTGTCACGGAAGCATGGGACACATTTTTCTCTGTTGAGCAATGATAGTAAGCCACAAAACATTGAAAGGAACTGAATCTGAGGAAAGAAGGAAACTTACAAAAACAATTTCAAAGTTACCAAAAAGACTATCCCCAAAGAAATGTCTCTTCAGTGTAGGGAGACCTCATGAAACTTACAGGCACCCTAAGCTGTGGATGTACGGATTTCCTATATTCATAAATAACTTTACAAATAAGCACTCAATAGTATTGTAGTAATACAGTACATTTAGCGAGGGTGATGGGGGGGATCGGTTATTGACTACATTCTCCCAGGAGTACCTTTCCACATCAAGATCATTTCGATTTGAAAAATAACAAACTATCTACAAATCTCAGAGCTAGCATTTAGTTCTGCTCTGTATGGAATAGCTGCACTGTCCCCACCAACATTATCTATGCATTCTTTCACACAAAAGTTCAAGTAAAAAACCCTCAGGGGTTTATAGCTACCAAACTTACAGGTGCCTCGCTCCATCAAACCGCCTCACCACTTGATTCCTACCAGTATGAAAGTGGTCAGGGGACCGCATCATGTCCCTGGAGGAATTGTGCACTGACAATTAGCATGAAATGCAATATACAACTTTTTAAAAGAGGAAATTAGATGCACTTGAATGATGTACTGAACAAGGCTACCATTTTACCCTGGGTTCCGAACCTTCATTTACTTCTGTTTTGGGGGCGATATGAATAGAGAAATACAACAAACAGATGCTATTTATGTATTCTGAGTACACGGTTTGGTGAATGAAGCGTACCGAATAAGGTTAGACCAAGTAGCATTAGCGACTGATGCTGAGACATTATAACCACAACAGTGGTCACAAAATTCTGGAGCTACCAGCACCCACCCACAAAAAAATTACTGTACAAGAGTTTATTAAATACTTGCTAGACACATGAAAAACAAAACACTTGGTCAGGGACCACAGGGTTTGATAAAGCCTAATGGCCAATGAATCAGCCTGTTCTTTACGCTCCGGCCCGAGGTTCTCATCACTTGCTAGCTCTGGGTCTCCTCCCTCCTCTCACAACAGGCTTGGATCCAGTGAGGACGCAACGGTTTGCCCATGTCTGTTCCAGGTCAGGACAGCTCAGCACGGTGCCTTTGTCATGCTCAGGCCATGGTTAGGTTCGAATGAGAGGCGCTCTTTCATCTGCAGTCCCCTGTGACTCGGGAGAGACAGGACAGAGAAGTTAGGATGGTGTACATGCCAGAGCCTTCTCTCCATGCGAAAAGCTGGGGGCGGGGTGGTGGAGTCAGGAGGCAGGAAGGCAGCTGTCCCACTCACCTCTCTCTTCTCTGGGCCCGCTGCTCTGCCTTTAACAGTCAGCCTGAACCCTCAGGAGGAGGCCCCTCTGATCCCAGAGCCGTCCTCTCCCCTACACTGACCTGGACTGTATCCCCCATCACACTCATCTGAACTTGCCTCTTTCCTGGTTTGGAACCTAGCAAAGAACAATGTTTTGGAGGTAGGTAGTAGTGGGTGCTCGGTGACTGCTTGCTTGTCGAATACATGTGGGTGATTAATTATAGGAGCAGTAATAGCATTTACATGGGCTTTCATATGTGCTTATGAAAATCTCAGGGACTGTACAATGTCAGACTGGAAGTGAGATCAACAGATAGATATGGCAAAATATGGGGATGTAAATAAAATTCAGCATAGAGAATACAGTCAATATTGTGATAACTATGTACCGTGCCAGGTGGGTACTCGAAATACACATTGCATATGGCTGTCTAACCAATATGCTGTACAACTGAAACTAATACAAAATAATATTGATTATAAACTATAATTGAAAGACAAAACTTTTTAAAAATGTAAAAAAAGAAATGTCAAAATAGTCACCTCACACCTAATCACTGTAGCATAATGGGCATGGGTTGGGAAACATAAGGAAAGAATGTGGAAGATAGGGAGACCTGGGCTAATACTTTTCAGGTGGCTTCAACCTGTTCACTTCCTGCTTCACTTGGACCTCAGACAAGTAGTTGAGGCAGCTGGGAGAAGAAAATAAGCAGCCTTTGTGGCAAAAACAGAAGCTGCTGAGAATTTAAGAAAGGTTGCTACAGAGAAGGCTCACCAAAGGTATTTAGACCCTGGGCTGGCCTGCTGGTCACTGAGGAGGCCCCCCAACTCCGTCTATCCCATCTATTTGGGGTCGTTCCCAACCCCTCAGGGATGTGATTCCAGCTCCTGTGCTAATCATTTATGAGGTATTGCTGACTCAGTGGAAGGTACATTTGATGATATATCACAGACTCTTTCCAAGCAGGTCCTGGTTGCCTTGCCCCCTAATCTTGGAGCTGTTTTATCATAGAACTAATGCTTATTGAGTTCTTACTAAATGCTAACAGTGGGCCATGTTAGCATTTACTACATCACCTAATCCTCGTGAAAACCTCCTAAGGGAAGCTTGAGTATTATCCCATTTTACAGAAGAAGAAACTGAGGCACAGTTTGTAGGGTCACACAGCTATCAAGTAGCAGCGCTGAGATTTAAACTTAGGCAGTCTGACACCAAATGCCTCGTGCTTAGCTGTTAAATATCCTTCCTTTTCCTTCAGGTTACTTTTGAAGGCATAAAGCTTACTCCCAGGGATTCTGTACCTGCTACGAGAGCCCCAAACATGGGGAGATACCATTCTATCACCCCTCTCCTTGCTTTTGGTTTTGTCCAGCAGTAATATAACCATGAAATCACTATGCCCAGCATAAAACCTCAGAACCCTCCCTAATGAGCCAGCTGATAGCCCCTTCAAAGAAGCCCAATAGAGTTTGTCAGGTAAAGTTCCTCCAGGAAAGAAGTTCCTCCAGCCACTGCTCACCTCGTCCATAGATCCCTGTCCTCGGCACGCAAGCCAGGTGAAGATCAAACCAAAGAACACGCCCAGCGCCATGACAATGTAGGGTATGTTGGTGACGATCATAGTGGTGTTCACCACAGACTTCAGTCGACTCGCTGTCTCTTTATCAATGAGAACACTCTAGGGGAGCAAAAAAATAGTATTGCCTTGATTACTCAATATCCAGAGTGTACCTTCTTTTGCTATATGATAATGAAAATCCAATTATAAATTGGAATAACCAGCATTTATTTATTAACACCTTCCCTTTTCTTTTGAAGACACGTTTTACTCTCAAAATAGGTTGGAAGGAGGAGTTGGAATGCGCATTTAAAAATATTGAGATAATATCATCTTTTGTTTTGTGTTGCACAACTCCAGTTCATCCTTCAGAATCCATCTCAGCATAACTTCCTTCCAGAGGTTTTCTCTGGCCACCTCAGGCCTGGTGAAAGGCTCCTTTCTGCACTCTCAGCGCACTCTCTGAAATCCTCCATCACGGTCTCTGTGCTCTGTGTTGTAACTGTCTGTGGTATTCCCTGTCGGTTTCCTGGTGACTGTGAGGTCCCAAAGGCAAAACTTTTATCTCAGTCACCTCAACAATGGGTACAGCACCCTGCATACAGTAGGTGTCCATTTAATGTCGGTAGATTGAATGAATGAATGAATGAAACATTCCAACAATGGTATAGGGAAAGTATTATTTCTCCCTTGGTTAGATCTGTGCTAATCAGGACCAGAGGTCTCGAGATAAAGTGTTCAAGGGAAGTCCTGAAGCTAACCAGAATTCCAGGGGCTGTTCTAAGGAAGGAAGTATTCTAGAAGAACCCTTTCTGAATGAAGGGCTAAGGTATTGATCACCTTAAACTGCCATGGTAAAGTATCTGAAACACTTAATTTAATACCATTTATTTGCAACAAATAGGACTTTGGGATTAATTTAGGTTCAATTTAGATGAAGGCAGAGGCTGGGGATCTAGGGCAGGTTTTCCAATAACTGGCCAAGGCCTGTCAGGGCCAGGCTCCTCCTTCGGAAAAGGGAGTGAGGGCGCAGTCCCCACGGTCACCCCCAGGTCTCCCTGGAGTCCATCTGGTCTTGCACCAGAGAAAAACGGAAGCATAAGTCTGAGTGGTGAGGACCTGGAATAGACCACACCTATGAACACAAGCTTGCAGAGCAGCAGCGGTCTGCCTTCTCAAAAAGCCCTGCTTGCACGCTCCTCCTCACAAATGTTCAGGCAAATATTGCCTGAATTTTCTCTATGAAGAAAATAAAAGCCTTGTCTTAGCACTGCAATCACAAATCCATCAAAAGTTTGTAAGTGTGGCTACCTACACAACACTGAATTTAAAAAGGATATAAAACCGTATCTATAGTATGGTCTCAACTATGTGATATCAAAGTCAGGATAATCCTGAGGCAAAGTGAGCTGATGCCAACTGCACTTTTCTCTGAGGGCCAGGCTTATAGGTGGTTCACTTTTTAAATATATTTCATATTTTAAGATTTTATTTCTTTATTTCTAGAGATGAAAAAGGAGAAAGAAAAGGAGAGAAATATCAATGTGTGGTTGCCTCTTGAGTGCCCCCTATCGGGGATGTGGCCTGCAACCCAGGCATGTGCTCTGACTGGGAATCAAACTGGCGACCCTTTGGTTCACAGGCCTGCGCTCAATCCACTGAGCTACACCAGCCAGGGCAAATAGCAGGTGTTTTTTAAGCTTTCAGAATACTAACAAAAGTTCAACTCATCCCTAACCTTTAGAGATAAAATTTCTGTAGGTACATAATGAATATTTCTTCAGGGAAACTTTTTTTTGTTCGAACTAGGATAGGACCTATTTCCTATGATTTATGATATGTTTGTTCACCAGAAAGTAGGAACAACTCTATGCTGAGGCTACCATGTATCACAGAACTTAATGGGCATGTATGTTTATTGAAAAGAGAGAGACGAAGGGAGAGAGAGAGGAACATCGATGTGAGAAAGAAACATCAACTGGTTGCCTCCTGTATGTGCTCTGACCAGTAGGTAATGGAACCTGCAACCTTTTGGTCCATGCGACAACACACTAGCCAACTGGGCCACACCGGCCAGGGCACATGTATCACATTTTATTTAACTATTTCTTTAACCACCTTACACTAACTTTTTATTAATGTTGCCAGTCACTTTAATTTTACTCTTCTCCTCCTCAACTAATGAACAGCACACAGATGACATTTCTCTGGAGCTGACAGAGTTTCAAGGTGTAATTTGCCCTCCGAGTGCTGGCTACTCTGTTCAACAGTGTCTGCCAACGTTGCTTCATCCACCTCTGCATTTTGTTTCTTACACAACCTGCTTCCCGAAGGCAGGTTCCCCCAAATAATGTTCTCGAGAAAGGAAACTTCTTTCTGTCATTTTGAAGTTGCAGACATAAGTGACTTCATGTTAACACATAAACAAATCTTCTGAGGACAAACAGGTTTTTAAAAATCGCCTTTCCCCCACCGCTTACGTTTGAAATGACACATCGCCACAGCAGCAGACATCATAAGGAAGGTTTCCAAGCCTCCCAAGGTCAAATGTGCCGCGGCTGCCCCGGGACTCACCTCGTTGACGTGCATCACTGGGAAAACCATGGTCCTCACATCTCCCGTCACACTGCAAAAACAGAAGATGAGGTCATCGTACAGACATCCTCACTGCGATGGCCCACTGGCCCGGAGAGACGCGTTTACATGAAAATTCCAGCATGCCCATTTCATTAAATTACTCAGAATTTAAAGAGACTTCTTAGTTATCTTTGCAAACACATATCAATCAGAAGTTAGAGTCCAACCTCTTAGTGTAGCAATTCCAAGTGTTGTGGATGTATGTAAACTTTTTATCAAAACACAAGATGCTGAAATCAATTCATCAAAAATGATTCCCATTCTCCACAGAGTCAGAGGGAGGTTTCTGCAGGCAGAACGATGCTGCTGGTCCTCAGAATGTTTTGTAACTAGGCTACTAGGTGTGTTCACAAGAGCCCAGGTCGTCACTTACTGAGCATTTACCGTGCACCAGCCCTGTCCCGGTGTTTTGGGGGTATAAGCTCATTCAATTCTCACAGGAGTCCCTCACAGTAGGTACTACTGTCCCAGGCTTAAAAGAGGAAATTATGGCTCAGAGTAATTTTTCCAGGACAACCAGAGTAAATGGCAGAGACAAGATGGTAATTCCATTTTGATTCTAAAGCACTACAACATGTTAACTACTAAATTATACCGCCTCAGAAACACACACAGGTGACAACTCACATCTGCTTCCTAGAAAGAGCCGTGATTGTAGGGTTAGACCTGGCAAATCTGACGAGGAACTAACCAAGTCTCATAGACAGATAGATACATAGGTGATAGATGGGAAGAACAGATAGATATACGGTACTATGTGTAGTTTTGTACCTTGTTTTTTTTTCCATTCAACATTAAATTATAAGTATTTTCTCATATCCAAAAAATTCCCATTGCAAAGTTTGAGCAGGAGACTCTACTTAGGAATCCTAATTAAGTGGTGGTTTTAGGTAGAGTATGGGGAGGAAAGGTTGGACTCAGGGGCAATGGTCACTATCCAAGTGCAGCCTGTGGCTGGCCCTGGGTGGGAGCGGAGGGTGAGGAAGGAGGGACCCAGAGTCGTGGTGAGGGAGCTGCTTAGAGGAGTGGGGAAGAGCCAACTTCGCAGCTTTACTAGCTGTGTGAGCTCTAGCAAGTTATTTAACTTCTCTATGCCTCGTTATCCTCATCTGTGAAACGGGATAACACAGGGTTATTGTGGGGAATCAACGTGTTAACATGTAAAGTACTTAGAACAATGCCTGATCCCTGGAAGGCACTCTATGTGTATTTGGTTAAATAAAGTAAGTAAATTCGAGGAGCAAGGCAGCCAAAGAGAACGCCAGTCATGCCTTATCCCCTGGTGGGGTGGTTAAGAGTCAGTGGACTTAGAAATGGGCTGTATCCCTCCCGACATCAGCCCCACCAGAAAGTCGATGTAGGAAAACTACCCTCTGCCTCTGTAGAAAGAATCAAAACTTACATAAAGCCATCTATTTTTTGGACATAAACATTGACTTGGAACCTCTTGGCTCCTCTTAGGATAATTCCAGTCAACTGCAAATCAGAGAAATAGAAAGAAAACACATTAGAACCACAAACACCATTCCTTTCAATGCAGCAGTATTTCTGTGTGTTTCTGATATGCCCGCCATGTTTGACAGGCACCGTGGGACCGGGAAAATGCTGACCTCAGAACAAAATGACAGATGTGGGGTATTTTTTTAGGCGCCTGGAAGACCAGTGTTTCTCATGCTTTAATATGCCTCTGAGTTCTGATTGAGCAGGTCTGGGGCGAAGCCTCAGATTGGGCATTTCTAACAAGCATCCAGGATACGGCCCTGGGGCCCCTGGCAGAAGGGAGCTCCAACAGACACCCTGTCGGAAGGATGGTTGTCACTGCCAGGGAACAGAGCCCAAGTATGGTCAGGGCCACCCAGAGGGAGCGGCTGCTGCTGTCACCTAAGGTCACGGGACTGTGCCTAGCCCTTGGTAACAAGCACCTGCTGACCATTTGGCTGATGAAAAGAAACTCACTGGTGATTAAGAGAGAAAGGGGAGAAACCACACCTGATCTTGTTCAGAGGAAGATAAGACCACTGATTTCTCAGATACAAGTGCACCGCGTGTAGCTAAGAGTGCCGTCTCCCTGAACTGCTGTGTGAAAAGCATGTTTTGCTTTTCTCTTATTGTGCCATGTGTTCAAAAGCCCAAGAATGAAGATGTCTGACCTCGAGTTCAGTTCCTACGGTGAGAGGCTGTCACATTTTGAAATGATACTCACATCCTTTTCACATGGTTTTTGTTTTTTTCCTCTGGGAATATAGAATTACAGTGCATATATGCCTTTTAAATGAGTAATATATAATAAACTCTCAAAAACACTTGTAAAAAGAGGTTTGCCAAAAGTGACTGAAGCTAATCTATATATATATTTACATTTTAACCAAAACCTTTCTGGCCATATACAGAAATGTCTTCAACCTGGCCGGTCCGTGCCCTCATGGGAGAAATACATATACATTCAGGTTCCAGGCTGGTAACAGAAGATTGACTAGGTTGCCTGGGTCCAATCTCAGTGGTGTTCAGTGATGGAAATTTCACTGTTGCCTTTTTGTTAAACTAGGTTTGCTGGTGTTTCTGTTGATTAGATCCACAGAATGCAGCTTCCAAATGGGAGACTAGGAGACTATGCATTACATTTCCCTGAACTGAGACTCCTGCACTTGGCTTTATATGAAATGAAGACAGTAGATTTAAGACAGCCAAGGACTAAACCACAAACACTGAATAGACAGAATGAAATGCATGGTCTGTTATCAGAAGCAGGTGGGTACTCACAGGATTAATGTCTACAAATGTCTCATGATGTTCCTTATTTGGATGCATGCCTTCTATGGCAGAAACAAACTTCTCATCTGCTTGGTAGAAGTGTGGGAAAGACAAAATAATAGGTGCACCTGTGTTTTAAGGAAAACAGAAATTAACGGTGTGGTTCTGAAAAGTCTAAAATAAATATCAAGCTCCTGACCACAAATCTGGTTCCTAAGAAAGCAAGAAAAAGCTATACATAAGTAAACTTGGGTTGGAGAGAACAGGCTAAAATTCCACCCTACACCTCTTAGTTCAGGATTTATACTTCATTTTCTGGCATCTCTTTATTTTATTCCACAATATATACTGAAGTCCGAGCAAAATTATTTATTCTTCAACAAACATTTACTCAACCTATAAAAGTAAATTTGTTACACACATTATTTTAATTAATGTTCCTGTTAGGTAGAGCAGATAGTAAACCGAGGCGGGGCAGAGGAGGGAGACCTGTCTCATCTGTGCACCTGGCAGTCCTGGGCCTGGTCCGACAAGATCGCCAGGCGTTCGGAGAATCCCAAGCAGAACTAGGGTAGCACCAGAGGAGGGGAGACCTTGAAATTTTATTTGTATCCCTTCCGTGGGTAGGGGAGTGGGGAAAGAAAGCTTTTGTAATGATGTCCCTAGCTCAGGGGTGTCAAACTCCTTTTCACCAGGGGCCACATCAGCCTTGCGGTTGCCTTCAAAGGGCCAAATGTAATTTTAGGACTGTGTAACTGCAACTCCTCCTTAACAGTTAAGCGAGAGCTTGGCGCTGCCGCCTGGTAGAAACAAGGTGCTGGGCCGGATAAAACACAGTAGAGGGCCAGACTGGGCCCTCCGGCCTCGTGCGTGCCACCTGTGCCCTAGCAGGGTAGGGAAGCCTCTGTAACAATTTCACTAGCTGAAAAAGAAAGCCTTTATAACTGTATGTTAATCCCAGGGTCCGAGAGCGGGTGGAGGGGGAACCCAGAGACTGACTCAAGTATGCAACTCCTGGAGTTCCGGAAGTTGGTGCTCTCACGTTAGCTGAGTGCCCGCTCGTAGCCTTTGCTCAAGTGAATAGGACAAACTTACTAACAAACTTATTAATAAGATTACAAACAACTTTATTTCCTCCATACACGGGGCATGCAGACTAGCTGGGTGCCTGCCTGTAGTTTCGTGCTCCAGTGTCTACTTCACAAATAAGCGTGCTATCTTATCCTACTGTACATGCTTATCTCTCGCCTGAATTCTTCTCTTTTGAGTGGACAAGAACCGAAGAGGGGCAGCACCTAGACTCGGGTCTCCCTGGTAACATTCCCAGCAGCCCTGCGACATTAAAACTATGATCTTCACTTTGTATTTGAGTGAAGTGTGGTTCAGAGAAGTGACAAAGCTTAGCCAGGGACATCCAGCTATCAGGTGATAGAGGCTGCATCCTAAATGAATAAATGACTTATCTCAAAGATCTTACAGCACTTGTTTCAACTACAGTTCTCTACCAGTAAGTGGCCTTTTTTTAATTGCTTTTCTGTTTTCATTTTATCTAAGATAGGCTTTGTTCTCCTGTACATGCCAATGTAGAATTTTGTAAGACCGTGGTTATGATGTCTGCCTAGCCTCTGACCAGATGAAGTTTGCCCACATGAAGACTGGGGTTTTTTTTGTTTGTTTGTTTGTTTGTTTGTGTTTTTGTTTTGCCTTTCCTATTCATGTTAAGGAAAATACAAGAAAACAAACTATTAAAGAAAATGTATTCTAGATTTTGATACTGAAGGAGAAGGACCCAATAATCACTGCCAGGAAAATATATTTTTGAAGAAATTAGCTTACTGGCAAGAAATGTCACTCTGGCCACATGCCCACCAGTCCGGGGCTCTCTCTGTACACACACAGGTGTTTTGCTCGTTACTCTGAAACAGTTTCACAAAGCCATAACTTCCTTCTTTGTGACCTACAGTCACCTTTAAAGTGTATCTTAAAAACTCTATTGAGGGTTTAAGAAGGGCCAGCCACTGTCCTGAGTATTTTACATCTAGTATCTCTAGCCCTCATACCAGCTTCCAAGGTACAATCACCCCCATTTTTATGGATGACAAACCTCCCTCTTCAACTTGGTCAGCTTGCTAACAAATAGAGTAGGACTCAAGCCCACATCTTTTTGAGTCCAGAACACTCCCTCATCCCACCATCCAAAATATTACCCTGGGGGATTCATAACGCCTGAGGATAATCCCGGAGAGCGGACATTTCAGCCCACATTTGGTAACACACAAGAGGCAAGAGGGAAAAAAATTGCAGCAAGAGGTTTGACTGTTGCAAAGAAGAACCTGCCTATTGTCTCTGACATTAATGTCTTGAGGCAGCAGAATGTTAACAAAACAAAAACTGTACCCATGTTTATGCCTGGAGCCAGAGGCTCCTGGGCTGAGTGGGCAGGGCACTGCTTCAGAACCGTTCACCCAGAAAGAAGGCAGGGGAGATCGGAAGCAGAAACTTGTTCCCATTGATCTTATCTCCAGGTAAGGGGCGCCATGCTCCCTGGCGCAGTGCTTCCCAAACACGCAGGCATCGTCTTCATGAGAATCGCCTGGAGCTCATGTTAAAGATACAGATTCTGGGGCCCTAGTATTTGGGCCCTGGCCAGATGTTTTTAATGATTCTCCCAGTAATCCTGATGTAAGGCCAGGTTTGGGAGGCACTGTCCCATCAGACCAGGACAGGGAGGACACTGCTGACCTTAGACGATCCCCCAAAGGAGATTTTCAAACCAATCAGACAGGGGGGCAAAAGTTAGAACTTACTTTATTCAGCAGAAAAGGGCAACTTTATTCAGGAGAAAGGGGGTACAAGGTTTCTCAAGAGAAACTGTAAAGGGGACTTGTAGCTTAAGAAGAATCGTGGAATGAATATAAGGCCCTGGTTATAACAAGGACTTGCCGAGAGATGAGGATTTGATAAAAACCGAGTTCCTTCTCTGATCCTTGATTTCCACATTTGTAAAAAGAGGCCACTGGATATCTCTCTAGCAAAGGTATTGTGAATACTTTTAAAAAACATTTAGTCAACAACAAAAGGGAAAAAAGAATAAAAAAATGAGGATAGGGTAAGGAGCTTCTGGGACAACATCAAATGTACCAACATTTGATTCATAGGGGTGCTGGGCAGGGGAGAGAAAGGGCAAAAAAAATGAAAACTTATTTGAAAAAATAATTAAAGAAAACTTCCCTAATTTAGTGAAGGAAATAGACATACAAATCCAGGAAGCACAGAGAGTCCCAAACAATTTGGACCCAAAGAAGACCACACCAAGACACATCATAACTAAGAAGCCAAAGGTTAAAGATAAAAAGAAAATCTTAAAAGCAGCAAAAGAAAAGCAGAGTTAACTACAAAGGAGTCCCCCTAAGAATGTCAGCTGATTTCTCAAAAAAAACTTTGCAGGCGAGAGGGACTGGCAAGAAGTATTCAAAGTCATGAAAGGCAAGAACCTACATTACTCTACCCAGCAAAGTTACCATTTAGAAGGGAAAGGCAGATAAAGTGCTTCCCAGACCAGGTAAAGCTAAAGGAGTTCATCATCACCAAGCCATTATTGTATGAAATGTTAAAGGGACTTATTTAAGAAAAAGAAGATCAAACTTATGCACATTAAAATAGCAATAAATTCACAATTATCAACAAATGAATCTACAAAACAAACTGAACAGAAACAGAATCATAAATATGGAGATCATCGGGAGGGTTATCAGTTGGGAGGAGAAGAACGAGGGAAAATGTACAGGAATTAAGAAGTAGAAATTAGTAAATACAAAATAGACAGGGGAATATTAAGAACAGTATAGGAAATGGAGTAGCCGAAGAACTTACATGCATGACCCCTGGACATGAGCTAAGGGGTGGGGGGATTGCCAGAGGGAATGATGGGTACTGAGTGGAGCGGGGCTGAGGGAGAAAATTGGGACAACAGTAATCAATAAAATATTTTTTAAAAGAACTACTGCCCATAAAAAGCACAACATGGCATTCTAGAAATAAAAACCATAATAGGAAAGCCAGTATTTTTCATCTTTTCTTTCTTTTTTTTCTTTTAACATTCTATAGCCATGTTAAAAAAACCTTGCTTTTAAAAGATCAGAATCATTCTTTCTGTTGGGCTGACAACATTCCCTGCTGAACACCAGCCCTGCATCCCAGACACCCAGAATTGTGCCATGTCTTACCATTCTTGCAGACGCTGACATTCAGGACTCCTGAGCCCAGGCAGTTTCCCGTAGGTGTACAGAAGCCGGCGTTGTCTGAAGTGTTGGCTAATATTTCTTCGGGCACCTTAAACCGAAAGGCAGGCAGTCCCTGTACACTCTCAAAGTTACTGAAAGTTATATACAGTGACCTGTTAGGAAGTAGGAACGAAACGTCAGTGTGGGCACCAGTCAGCATGGCCTGGCCTGAATCAGGAAGTCGGCACCTGTGCTCAGGTACAACACAGCTGAGCACTTAGAGGGGGAGTGAAAAATGAAGATGCAAAAGAAACCTCGAAAGGAGCTCCACCCACTCAATGTGTAAGTAGGACATGAACTGTAATGAAAGATGTGTAAGAGGTAGCAATTGTGGTGATAAACAAGGCCAAGAAAAAAATATGTAATCTGTGGTCAAAAATGAAGATGACATTTGAAATGGAGACTCACATTGAAAGAAACGAGTGACCTAGACCCTCAGGGACACAAGCCAGCATGGGTGAACAGAAGCAAAGAAAAGGAAACCAGGGTGAGGCCAAGGCAAAGCCCAAGCTTGGCCTAGAAAAGCGCCCATGGACAGGTACTTGATGAGAATGCATGCTTTGATACACACTTCCCCCAAACAAAAAGTGTCCCTCTTTTACCCATCTTTGATCTCAGTGGGGGCTGACATATTTCTGCCTTTGATTGCCAATGGAGTTTCCAACAGTGGTACGCTGAGACACTAACCTCCCTCATGCTCGCACAGCCCCTGAGTACAGGTATTCCCTGCTTTTCAGAAGTTTGCTTTATGCTACTTTACTTCTGTTAGGCAGGACAGAGAGTAAACCAAGGCAGGGAGGGGGAGGGAGGCATGTCTCGCCCACTAGTTCGGCAGTCCTGGGCCTGGTCGGGTAAGACTGCTGGGTGTTCCAGCATCACAGGCAAAGGCAGCACAGGAGGAGGGGAGCCCCTGAGACTGTGTGCTGGGAAAGGGAGCCTCTGCAGCAATTTCACTAAGACAGAAAGCCTTTACTAGCAGAGAAAGAAGGCCTTTGTAACTGTATACTGATCCCAAGGTCTAGAAACATGAGCAGGAAGGGTACCTAGAAGCTGGCTGAAGTATATAACCCCTGAACCTCAAAGAGTCAGGGCACTCAGACTAGCTGAGTGCTCACTTGTAGCCTTTTTTCTCAAGTGTATAAATAAACGTGCTATTTCATTTTCAATATACATGCTGTCTCTCACCTGAATTCTTCTCTTGCGAGACAGGCAAGAATTGAGGAGGTGGGGAAGTCCACCCTGTCCAGGGTCTCCCCAGTAACCCTTCTACCACAGGCCTACTTAGCACCTGTTTTTGCTAACCCAAAGAAATCTGAAGAGGATTTTTGCTTTTGTGGGAAAAGGTGAGAAGTGAAAATAGTGTTTATTTTGCAACAAGGCATACATTATAGAGGCAGCAAGTGCCCTGGGCAACGGGAGTGGCCCCACCTAGCTCCTTCCCGGGAGCTACACTCAGCGACTCAGCATCAAGCCCCAGGGCTTTGAACTGTGTCTGAGAGCATCTGTGCTTTTATCTTGACTCATTTTGTGCATCCGTTAGCAAGATGTGTCTTAAGGTGTCAGAGACGCCTAAGAGAGCTGGCAAGGGCGTTATGCTTAGTATAAAACTGGACATATTTGATATGATTTAGTGGGTTTATGTCCCACTAAATGATTCACTAAATCATATGTCCCACATATGACTTTATGTCTTGGAGTGCTCAAAAAGTTTTCCGTATAATTTTAATAGGTCCTTCTGTGCTTTACACCAAATCAGCTTACAGAAGGTTTCGCAGGGACGGTCTACTTTTAGATAGCTGGGGGAAACCTGGAACAGCAAAGCACTTTCACACACAGCACCTTGTCCTAACCTATCCCTCAGCGTGAGGACCGAGAGGAAGGGCGCTCTGGGCCTCGCTTCTGCATCTCTGAGCCAGAGGTGAGATCCCTCTTCAGCGAGGTTGTGAATAACATGGACATTGCCTTCCACTCACATCCTACCCCTACAACATTTTTTAAACGAAATGTTTTAGGCAAACAGAAAAATAGAGAAAATATGATCATAAATACCTTTTATAACTAATATTAATCAGATAAATAAAAATATACAGATACGATTGTAGCTGTCTGTATAACACTCCTGATTCTAGCCCTTCTCTGTGGCCCCAGGAGAAACCACTATCCTGAACTGGCGGTTTATTATTCCCATGGAGGTCTTTATATTTTACATATGTGCATATTCATAAACAGTATGTGGCACTGTTGGCTAGTTTAAAATATTATGTATAGTATACCACATTCTCCTTCTATAATTTGCTTCTTCATTCAACATTATACTTTTAAGATTTCTTACATTAATGTACATAGCTCTGGTATTACACTTAAAATCCTATATGGTATTCTATCACATATGTGTGTGTGTGTGTGTGTATGTGTACGCACTAGAATTCATTCATATTTTTATATTTATAAGCACTTAGATTGTTTCCAATTTCTCACTACTACAGTGTTGCAATGAACATTTCTGTCTCTGTCTCCTTGCACACATGTGCAAGAGTTCTTTAGGCCAGGGACTCTGGGACAGAAGCGCAGAATTATGGAGTCAGCGTGTCTTTGGCCTTACCAAACATTGCCAAGTAGCTCTTCAAAGTGGCTGGACCACATAAGAATGTGTTTCCCCCATACCATATCTTTTCAAAAAAGCCTCCAACTGCTTTTTTAGGTCCCCTTGTTTCACTCATTGCACTCCAATGCATTTTAAGTCCTGCAGTCCTTCCACAGATATTTACTAGATGGAGCAGCCAGCTAGGAGGTGACTGTGCTATTCTGTAGGAGAGTCTAAAGGGCCTAAACCAGCTATTTTCAACCGCTGTGCCACAAGAATGTTTAAAACAAGCAGTACCTGACTAGTCAGTGAGAGGCACTGGCCTCTTTTCCCTTAGATCGTCTAATAAAATGACAACTGCCAACACAACAATAGCTGCCTGGTGTGAATGAATCAAAATTGTTACTATTTTTTATCAGATCGTCAAAAACATATTTTTTGGTGTGCTGCAGAATTTTGGTAATCAGTTCAAGAGTGCCATGAGATCAAAAAGGTTGAAAGTCACTGTCTGCACCATAGCACAGAGAGCGGGCACGGAGGGTGAGGGGGATACAAGAGCTGTTTCTGAGGAGAAATCGACAGTACTTGGTGAGCACGTAAATGCAGGAGAGGAGGGCCGTTTACCCTCTTCCCTTGTCACCAGTGTTTCTGGCAGGGCTGACTGGGTAGGTGGTGCAATTATGTGAGACACAAAAAACCCAAAGTACAGCAATTCTTGAGAATATTAAATCAACAGTGTCAAATAACACCAGATCATTTCTGATTTCGCAGTTTCATAAAAAGCCTTGAAAGAGTGAATAGGAGAGGAGGAAGTGGAGGCTGCAAGAGTCAGCTACTCATTCAAGCAGCTCAAGGGGGATGGGAGGGAAAAGGCACAGTGGATGATGGGGAGGCAGGAACCAGCGTGTGGAGCAGGCTACCTCCTTCCCACAAAGACACAATCATGTTCTTTTGTAGAAGGAGCAGTCAGTAAAGAGAGACAGAATATAGGGTGAGTGAGGCTAGACCTGACCCATGGCAAGGTTATAGCTGAGCAAATGCCTATAAGCTCTGAATTATGGGCAACAGCACTTATCTTCTGTGTAGACATTACCTGTTCACTGGAAAAAGACCAGGTCAAATTTCATGCTTGGTAAAGCACATCATATTAACTAACAGCCAACACTTAATTTTATTTCCTGTGTGACAGGCCCTGAGCTAAATATTTCACTAACAGTCATGCATTTGCCCTCAGAACAACTTTCAAGGTAGGTAACTATTTTTATCTTTATTTTACAAGCGAAGAAAATGAGTGGTTAAATAACTTTCCCAACATCACACAGCTGTATGTACCGTATTTTGCCATGTATAATGCGCACTTTTTTTTTGGCCCAAATTTTTGAGGGAAAAATAAGGATGCACATTATACATGGGTCTCACTAATTCTGTATCTATATAAATGTTTTTAATTCTTTTATTTATGCTTATGCGTTAAAAGCGTAACTCTAGAAAGCAATAATGATATCTGTACGCAAAATAATACCCTGGAATGTGATAATAGGCTTTGTTTCTAAATATAAATAAATAAATAATTGAATTAAAAAATTAAAATGAAAGGTTTTTTCCCCTAAAAGTTTGGGCCAGAAACATGGGTGTGCATTATAACATGGGAGCACATTACACATGACACCATACGGTAGTAGAGCTGGCATTCACACTGATGTAGTCAGGCTTTGAAGTCCAGGCTGTAAACCACTGCCCTCCACTGTCTCTCAACACGCCATCGTCACCACTTATCACTGACTAAACGTGAGTAGCCAGCCTAATCAATGAAGCTGCATAGACTCCTCACACTTTTGGTGGCCTTGTGGTCAAAGATATTTTCAGAAGTCTCACCTGCAAAAGTCAGATGGAAAGACATACAGCGTTTCATCTCTGGTGATGAGCGGGTGAAAAGTGTCGCCGTCCGTTCCATTAATCATGTTGCACTTGTCTGTTGCCCACCAATCAAGGGACCTGTAATTGGTAAGAACAAGGAAGAAGCAAGAGGATAAAATTTGATTTTAGATTTCTTTCAAATGGTCGGACGTTTTAAGACCTAAGTAGGGGCTGGCTACGCACAGAATCTCATTCATTTGCAGACAGAAGGGAGATATTAGTTAGGGGTTCAATTAAGATGGGGAAAAACAGGCTCCTGGCTCCTCTGATAAAGGCAATAGCCAAAAATCCCTTTATCCTTCCTTGAAAAAGTGTACCCTACACAGAGATTTAGAACTATCCATTTACTTGCAACAATGATCCAATTCAGCATTAATAACTGCCTGACGGACAAGCTCTGGAGAGATATGTTCATCGTGTCAACATTCACAACGGAGCATTAACTCTGTCTCCCCGCGGAACAGCCCCCTGTTCTGAAATTAATGGGGTCTTCTCTTGGGTGTCAATAAAGCTTAATATTGAGTTGATTTCATACTCACTAAAAGCACACTTGAGCTAGAGGGCTTCCCAACTAAAATAATTCTAAAAATCAACATATTTTTAAATGAAAGAAACTTATACTAAGAGACAGATAACAAAATTAACAATGAGAAGATGAATCCACTTTAGAAGAAATGAAAATAATTGAACAATTTGGCAATTATCTTAAATAAATATGTTTAGTATCCTCAAAGAGATAAATGAAAGAATGAAACAATAACATCCTTAGAAATGAGTGATAAATTATTTTAAAAATAAAAAGGAAAGAGCCCTGGCTGGTGTGGCTCAGAGGATTGTCAGCCTGCAAACCAAAAGGTTGCCAGTTTAATTCCAGCAAAATAATTCCATATTACTCTATCCAGCAAAGCTATCATTTAGAATGGAAGGGCAGATGAAGTGCTTCCCAGAGAAGGTAAAGTTAAAGGAGTTCACCATCACCAAGCCCTTATTATATGAAATGTTAAAGGGACTTTTCTAAAAAAAAAGAAGATCAAAATTATGAACAGCAAAATGACAGGAAACTCACAAGTATCAACAACTGAATCTAAAAAACAAAAAACAAACTAAGCAAACAACTACAATAGGAACAGAATCACAGAAATGGAAATCACATGGAGGGTTACCAGTAGCAAGGAAGTGGGGGAAGAATGGAGGAGAAAGGTACAGGGAATAAGATGTATAACTGGTAGGTACAAAACAGAAAGGGGGGTATGAATAGTATAGGAAATGGAGAAGCCAAAGCATTCATATGTATATCCATGGACATGAAGTAAGGGACTGGGGGATGCTGGTGGAAGGGGTGCAGGACAGAGGAGAATAAAGGGGAGAAAAATGGGACAACAGCAGTAGCATAATCAATAAAATATACTTTAAAGATTAGTAAAATTATTGGAAGGAGAACAGAAATAATAGTCTTAGATTTTTTTAGAAAAATATTGTTACATATAAATAATAAAAATCTAAGATAGAATAGACATAAACCAGAAAAAATAAGTCCAAATACATTAAATAATATATCATTATACCATAAATGTATCAGAAATTTTAACACATATATTAAAGAATAAAATTCCTATTGAAAGACTGAAAAAAAATAATGGAATAGGTTTAAAACAAAACCCAGCTACATCTTGTTTATGGGTAAACTTCCCTTCCAGCCCAGTACCCTGGGCATCTAGTTCCCCCTCAAGAAGTGACATCATCGCCAGTTGGTTATACATTCATTCAGGGATCTTGTATTTGTGTGTGCGCATGCTTACAAATATGCTCATGTACATGCTTTTTAAAAGTTAAATAAACGTTTTATTTAAAGATAGTTTGATATTTACAGAAAAGTTGTGAAGATAACACAGAGCTCCCTGATACGCCACACCAGTCTTTTGCCCATTTTCCGGTCAGCTCAGGAGTACATTTAATGTTCAAGGACAGAACTCCACCTACCTCTGTCCCTGAAGAATGAGCCTCGTGTTCTCCAAGGTTTCTAATCTCTCTAACTTTAAAAAGGCATCTTGTTTCATAGGTAGCTTTATTGAAAGCTGCCTCAGCTGCCTTTTTGGAAAGTAATTTGTTCACATTATAAATAATAAAATACAAAATATTTTCTGAAATACTATTATCCTGAACTCAAATGTAGTATCTTTTAAAAAAAGAACACAAACAATCCACAATCAATAAATTAAATTTAAAAAAAAGTCTTTTTTAATTAAAAACCCCAAAAAGAAAGGAGTGACTTGAGAAGTGACGGTGCTGCCGCTGCACCTCCGGCGACGTCTGCCGGCCGAGTAAGTGGCAGAGTGCAACCCTGCACTGGCCGCAAGTTCACGGTCAGCGTGACACCCCACAGACCAAGAACACTCACTTCGTCACATGCGTTACCCCAATTTTGATTATAAAATAGGAATTATAAGTATATTTTACATACTTATAGATTTTTTATCCAAAAATGACAATGATAAAAGTTTTTTGAAGTAACATGTAAGTGGACTTTAGATTTAAATGAAAATCGACATGTAATCGCACTGATGAATGATGAGACTTACGTTTTTCCATTCCATTCCACAATCTTTGAGAAGTCAAGGTAGTTGTCTTCTCCAGTTAGAAAAACATAGTCTCCATCATTAGTCCCATTTCTCTGGAAAAAAGTGAATATGAACATTTAAAATAATGTGATAGTTAATTTTACATGCCAACCAGCTGCTTGGGTAAACACCAGTCTAGATTTTGCTGTATTTTGTAGATGTGATTAACATGTACAGTCAATTCACCTTAAGCAAAAAAGATTACTGTGGAGAATGTGGGTGTACTCATTCAGTCAGCTGAAGGCTTAAAAACAAAATCAGAGGTTTCCTGCAGGAAAAAGGAATTCTCCAGACTTAAACATAGAAGTCCTGCCTGCGCATCCAGCCTGCCAACTGGTCCCGGGATTCCAGACTTCCCATGCACCAGCCCCCACCACAGCCTAAGCCAATTCCTTAATACAAATCTCTTGAACGATAGATAGACAGATAGATAGATAGATAGATAGATAATTGATAGATAGATAGATAGATGATAGAGATATAGACACATATCTCCCACTGATTCTGTTTCTCTGGAGAACCCTAACTTATACAGTAAGTAACAGATTTAATCTTCATGAATCTGTCCTAGTTGGGCCTAACTGCTTCCAGAAAGTAAGCCAGAACACAATGAGAACTGCCAAACACAGAATTACCATGTGACCCGAAAATCCCACTCCTATGTGTATACCCACGAGAATTCCATTCCAAAGTCCGTATCTAAAGTTCATACAAAAGCCTGTACACAAATGTACATAGCAGCATTATTCATAGCAGCCAAAAAGTAAAAGCAACTCAAATATCTATCAACTGCTGAATGGATGAAGAAAGGGTGGTATATCCATGTAATGGAATACTACTTTGCTATAAAAAGGAAGTACTGATACATGCTATAATACAGATGGACCTTGTAAACTTTATACTAAATAAAAGAAGACAGAGCAAAGATCATATAGTGTATGATTCCATTTATATGAATGTCCAACTGCCAGAGATGGTTTCAGCTCAGGGACGGTGCCTCGTGGCCCCCATGTGTAGAGCGTGCGTGTGTGTTGTTTTTTAACTTTATTTTTTGCCTGACAAAGTCACACTATAGTCCCAAACGTCCTTCCTCTGTGGCGCTGGGGAAGCTCCTGGCTTCTCTCCTCTCGGCCTGTGGCCCAGGCCGGCCTGGTCTCGTCTGCTCGGGGCCAGCCTATCCAGCACCTCAGCACCAGGGCAGAAGGCTGTCTGGGCAGGAGGGGGCCTCCTATGGTTTGTTTTGAACAAAAAACCCAACCTTTTGTTCTTTTAGATGGGTCAAACATAAAATTTAATATTGAAATACCACACTATTGTACCAGAATTCAGTAAAGTGTAAATAGAATTTACATTTCATAAAGTATTTATGTTATTCAGGAGCAAATAAAATGTTATATAAGATTTAAATTTTTTTCTTTTTTGTGTTTTGCTTTTTAAAACAATGTTTTATTATTTATGCTATTACAGTTGTCTCATTCTCCCCCTCAAAAACACAACCTTATTTGTCTTTACAAAAGCAAAAAAGGAAACCAAAAGATACCCTCCTTTGAACTTATTGGAAAAAATCTATAGCCCTGGCTGGTGTGACTCAGTGGATTGAGTGCCGGCCTGTGAACCAAATGGTTGCTGGTTTGATTCCAATCAGGGCACATGTCTGGGTTGCAGGCCAGGTCCCCAGTAGTGGGTGTGAGAGAAGCAACCACACATTGATGTTTCTCTCCCTCTCTTTCTCCCTCCCCTCAAAAATAAATAAATAAAATCTTTTTAAAAAAATCTATAGATTCATAGGCAAATCCCTAAAGATAGAAAGTGGTTGCCAGGGGCTGGTAGGAAGGGACAGAAGTGACTACACATGGGTACGCGGTTTTCGGGGGGAGGATGACGAACATGCTCTATAATTAGAAAGTGGCGTAGGCAAACACGGCAATCCAGCCTTTGGGGTTGCAAAATCTTGTGAACACACTAAAAACCACTAAACTGCACACTTTAAAATGGGTTATAGAACTAAGATATATGTATATGTATATGTAACATGTAGGCTATATGTACATATGTGATAGATATACACACCATTTTTATACATGCAAACAATTGTATATTTACATATACAATTTTTTAACTTAAGCATAAAACAGAAGTTCTTGAGAGGTTTAATTTAATGACTCTATGACATTACATGAAATAATTTACTTAACCATTCTCTTATTATTGGGCATTTAGTTTTGAGGGGGGTTTGCTATAAATAATGTTGTATGAATACCTCTATTCCTAAAAACCTTTTCCATACTTTTGTTTCCTACGCAGACCACTAAGACTGAAATTACTAGATAAAAGAACATGAACATTTTTAAACCTTTTGAGACATATCAAGTTGCTCGAGGTCACCCAGCTGGAAAGTGGTGGAAGCAGCAGGACGAAGCAGTTTACATTTCCCAAATGACTTTTGTGAAACTTTGTTAACTGGTGAAAAAAAAAACAACAGTTTCTTGTGTCCTTTTGTGTTTCTGTGTTCACTGAGGTTGAACTCTTTTTCATATCATTCAGCTACACTTTAAAAAACATGACACCCTTGGTGAATTCTCTTTTCATGTTTCTTCCCTAATTATTTGGGTTCCTCTTTTTGTCACCTCACATTATTTTGCCAACCACGTCAATATATCACCAAGGTGCACATACACAGGGGTCATGTCGTGTTCCACACGTGACACTTTGTGTGGCTTCCAGAAACGAGACAGGACTCTTCTCCAAGAGCAGCAATGTGTGCATAACAACTTGGTTGAAAACTCAAATGCCCCACATGAAAAAATGCTGACTCGACATTTTAAAAATGCATGTGCGTTGCTTCTTGAAGTCTTTCCCTCCACTCAGGTGTGTCTAAGCTCTGAGGTTAAGCATTTAAATGTTTCAGAGTAACTAAAAAAAAAAGTTTCTCCCCAGCTGTTATCTGCCCTTGAATCAGACCCTGGATGTGACGCGTCCCTGTCTCTCGAGAGCACTTTTGTTACTTGAGGACCAGCAGTGATAAACAGGTTTTGCGTCACTGCCGAGGGGCTGTGAGTTGCTACAGGGGACGCACTGCTGCGGGAGGCCAGGAAATGTTCTGAGGACGTGGCTGCAACATTCACACCGCGGGTGTAACAGAAACAACATCCATCCTCCAGGGAAAATTGGCTACACTGGCTGACTTCTCAAAGACACTTTCCAACGACTAGAATCTTGCACATCAGAGAACCAGCACTCTGTGGGAGGGGCTTGAACCCTCTCATAATAAAGGAGAACAGAGGTACCCTAAAATCAGCAGGTACAGATATGCTGATTGTCCTTGCAACGTGCAAATAAGAGCAACTGACACTTAACCAGTTCCCCTTTTCTCAGGAGCTCTGTGAATTCGCCTTACACCCTCCCCATTGATTGGTTGTTTCATCATTTAAGTCTCTGTAGGAAAAGTGTTTGATGGTGTTCACTAAGGCTGAGCTGGTGGGACAGGCATACCGGAGGACTAGTGGACCCCAGGGGAAGGCTGGCAGAACCCACTAGGACTAAGGAAAGACTTGAAGCCGGGATTGGGCGGGTGCAGAACAGTGGGTGCCGGTCACGATGCCCAACCTCACAGCCTATCCTGCCCCGAGTGAGCTCCTGCACTACTGGCTAAAGAGTATTTGCCCAAAGCAGCTGAAAAACTGAACAAAACCATTGCCTTCCCTCCACCCCGCCCCCCACCAACAACACCACAGAGAGCTTATTTGGCTCCAAAATGAAAACACATAGCAGTCATTCATATTAATTCATGGTCAGTTTTTGAGCCAGTCATGCAGGGGAAAAAGAATAATGGTTCCCAGAATGTGTATTGCAACTCACTCATAGTTTGAAAATCATTGTAATGGGTTTCTCACTTAGCCTCTTCAAAACAAGCTTTGAAGTACGGGTACTTCTAGTTTCACATTAGAAACGATGACACTGAGGTTCGGAAAAGTCTCTGAACCTTCATTTATTAATAGTTATTAAACGAAGAGGTAAAACTGTCAGTCTAGGCCCTCCGATTCTAATAAGTCCGATGGTTTTTTCCCTGGATGCGGGAAACCCACTGAAGGTGCTAATTTAACTGAGCGATGGTACAGGCCTTTCCACTGATGGGGTCTTGCAGAGACAGTGGGGTCCTCGAGTCATCAACGCGAGACTCGGCAGTGGACACTGAAATGTGTCATACTTTGAAAGACCACCCCTGATTGATGGTACAGCCACGCTATGCATTTTCACAGTTCCACTCACTCACAGTCAGCACCAGCAGCCTGTGGTGGGAGAAGTTTCCCCACCGCCACGTGCTAAAACACCTCTTTTCCACATACCGTACAAGACACTTAGAACTCCAGGCAGTTTTGGTCTTCTCACAGAAAAAAGCCAAAGTGAACATGAAACCTGGCATGGGTGCCCCTGAGATGAACAAAGAGGCTCTGAAGAGAAAGTCCCGCTTACCCCATAGTACAAGCCAAAATAGGGCAAGATGTCGGGTCTGAATGGGTGGATGAGGGCCAGGAGCTCATCTTTGTAGCCCCAGAGCAAGTCGTGGACTGTGTGCGTCATGAAGAAGTTCTGCTGGTACACCTTTAACAGCGCCTGGATGAGCATCTGGATGAAGCCCTGGTGGGCCCACTCCATGGCAGTCTGGAGAAAGCACAGGCAAGTTCAGATAGCAGCGTACCCACCGGACTCTGTACTGAGTCTCTAGGCAAAGGAGCTGCAAACTTAAATGTTGAGATTAAGTAGCTGAAAAAATGGCCAGCGAGCTCCTCTCTGGCTACATGTATAAGAATAAAACTCCTCTGTTACTTCCTTTCTCAGTATTACATTTTTAACTGTGAGCTTAGTATCCCCACTTGCCCCCATTAAGCCACACAAGGCAGGAAGAAAGGGAAAAGTAATCTTATAATTACATTGGCATCTTTAGCTGCAAGGTGACGCCCAAATCCCTCCTGATTGAGGCCAGAGGCCCAGACCCTCACAAACCCTGCACCACTAGGGAGTAGGCCAGGGCCAGATCTGGGGTCTAAAGTCTTCTATGTCCTGCACCCACCCTGAGTGTCCAGCTGTAAATGGAGAGGCCAACTAGGAGTTAGAGCAGGGGTCCTCAAAGGGAGTTGGTGTAGGTGAACAGGGAAGTTTCCTCAGTGTCGAGTGTGTTGTTATTAAATGGAATTGCCATTATAATCAGAGCCCAGTGGAATCACTCTATGCTGTCCGTAATCAACAGCCCAGTTTTTATTATTTGGAATGGAGACAAACAGTCAATATATATTTTGAGAATTAATAAATATAAGGTAGAAATCTAAGTTAAGAAGTGGTATGTAAATTCTACTGCTACAGTTTCTGAACCAAAACAAGGGGCAAATAAATATTTTTAAAATTGTAAGCTACTCAAAAAAAAATCCTAGACATATTTATTTACTTATTTACAGAATTTATTTGTTATCTTGCTGATCCTGAGCACACAAGGAATTGTGAAAAAATAATCTTAAAATGTGCATTTGTCACTATTTGAAAAGACCTTGTTTAAAAGACTGCTGAAATACATGTAAAATAACTTTTAAAGAAGAGAAGGGAAAACTATTTTTTTCTTTGTATATATGTATATTTTTAACATAACTTAGTCCTAAATGTAAAGGCATAACAGCCTGAAGTCAGCTTTTCCCTTTCTTCTAAACTCCGAGATAATGGCACCTAAACTGCCCACTTACCACCGCAGGAATGTTCACTGTTCTGATCAGGTCCGTCTTGGCGTCTCCGACAGATTGGTCTCGCACGAAAACATAGGTCTTGTTGCTGACAGCAGATATTGTTGTTCCATTATCCCCAAACTGAATCTCTGCTTTGTCTCTGATTTCCCTAAAATAAAGAATCAGATTTTGTTTGAAAATAGTCCCTACTTAAAAAAGCAATATTTTCCCCTTCTTTCAGTACCAAGGTCATTTTCAATACACTATTGCCAATATAACCTCAGAAAGGGGGCCTGCAGATACTGACCCTGTGAAAACTGGCGATTAAAACTATAATGTGAGAAGGAAACGAGCCCCCCCAGGATACAGTCTTCTCAAAAAACTGTCGTTTTCATTCTTTACCCCACAATTTGCAAAATGCAACAGTCAAGGTCTCCTTGACCAGGGAATCAAAGCCGGTGAACTCTCTCGTGGGTTATGGTTTGGTCCCAAAATATATTCACGAGAATACATACAAAATCTGATTGCCATCCTGTTAAAACACCTGTGTAATTTGCACTTAGGGAGTATCTGCGGTGGACTTTTGGTTGTTAGACATTCGCCACCCCGTCCCCCCCACCCACGCCCCCGCCCCCCTTTTCCCAGTCAGAGGCCTGATTTCCTTTCCTATCCCGTATCGGGAGGCGGTGTGGGACCCAGGCTCGGATCGACCGACACTTTACCCTGGGCTTCGGACTCCTGAGCGCACAGCCTCCAGACGGAAAACGCGGTCAAAATACCGGTTTCCTCCAGGGGGCGCACACGAGGCGAGGACACCCGTGCTCCGGAGATGCGCGTCCTGAAAGCTGCCCTGGGCCTTGCCTTTTTCTTCCGGGCCGCAACTTGGGATCTGTAACCCAATTTATAGCCTTCAAATAAATTCTTTGTATTTAAATTATACAGAGGGAGTTTCTCCCACTAGCAAGGAAAGCCCCCATCATATAGAAAACATGACCCGGTCTTTTTATAGATGAGATAAGATAGATTCAGATAAAGTAACTAGCCCAGGACTAACCAGGAGATGGCAGAGCAGGGTTTGGAATCCCGGTCCCCTGATTTCAAGCTAAATGTTTCCTTGACTCTACAGAGAAGTTAATGCAAAGCGATTGGTTAGAAACTGTGGGGGGAAGAGTAAATTTCAAAGGTAAATCCCTGCCTCTGCCAAGGCTGGTGCGTTGAGAGGGGTGTTCCTCCTCACTCCCATTCCCAGAGCCTCCCTGCAGCCCAGCCCAGGAGGGGAAGACTTTTCTAGGTGCACTGGTTTAGAACCAGGGCGGGGACCCCACGCTGGCCTAGCTGGCCACTAAGGAACTAGAAGTAGGAAAGGTGACCCCAGGGTGAACACCAGTTTGCATGCAAAAAAAAAGCCGGGCCAGGGAGCAAAGCTCTGGGATTCAACATCAGTGCAGCAACCCAGGGATAGTCTCTGCCTAGTTTTCTGGTTCATGATGAAAACTGATGACCTTATTAAGGCTTTTTAAAAATTTATTTTTCATTGAGCCCTGGGGCATGAACATGGAGGCCTGAATAATTCTAGCCTTAGAGTCTGCATCACTTATGTTATTTATGTGTACTGACTTTGGAGATGATTTTTAAAATGCTTTCTTTATGGCTCACCCAGTAAGAAATTGATGTTTTGAAGGGAAACTCAGTATGAGGGGTCCAATCATTTTGAGCCTTGTAACTTGATTGGATTTCTCAGTAAATCTCAGCAAGTCAAAACCCTGGCTTCCCAAACCGCTAAAATATTAACTCACTTGGCAGGCACCAAGGGACCATGATAGGTCACTCAGAGCTAACCACAGGACTTCCCCTCAACCATCAGCTGCTTTGAGACATGACTGACACATGGCTTTTGCAGAGCAGTCACCGAAGGAAGACAGTGCCACTGGGCTGTCAGAAATGGTCCCCTCTCTACAGAGGCCAAGAAAACCAAGGAGACAGGTGCCAGGAGCCCTGCCTCTCAGCACAACATACAGTCATATAGTCAGAGGAGCCCATAGTCAGAGGAAACCCCAAAATGGTTCTCCTTCCAAGCATTGCTGTCTCCCTGGCAACCAGAGGGAGGCCACAACACCAGTGAGTCTGGTACCCAAATCTCCCGCACAGCTGGTCAGCTACAGTCAACTAGAAGCAGGACAGCCTCCCGCAGAACAGCAGACGGACAGCAAGAAGTGATCAATCACTGCTTTACAGCATCTGGCAAGACCCCAAATCTGGCAGCGCCCAGGGCAGGCAGCACAGCATGAGAGCACAGGATGTGTTTCCGAAGTGAAGGGGTGAGGAGACCACTGCAGAGGTCGTTTAGAAAGAGCAGCCTGCAGCTCAGGGAGAGGCAGGGGGACCAGATAGGTCAACGGAGAAGTGAAGTCACAGGGTAAATGAAAGGGCAGCGAAGGAAGCAGGCCACTGGGAGGGAGTGGAGCAGCACTAGTTTTTAACTTTCCATCACCACTGCCTGGCCAGCTACGTGAGAGACTGAACACTGAGAGCCCAGAGAATGACACTGAGAAACAACTTCACTTCTGAAAGTGAACATGGTCCTCTGTCCTCGAAGCATTACCCTGACCCACCTGGCTAGCACAGGCAAGTCACTCAGGACTACTATGTGCATTCGAATTTCACAAGTACCTGGGCATCACCTTTTGTATAGGATGGGAAGGTGGGGGGATCTGTATCTATTTTTCTTACTTTTGAGTAGTTCGAAGATTTTTAAAAAATTTATCTAAAGGCACTCTTTCTATTTTGAGAAAAAAAAGTGGTATCAGAGAAGAGTGAGTCAAGTTTAGGAAATATAATAATGAGTTGTTTTTGTTTTTTAGGTTCAGATGTTGATAGTTGTGAGTTTGTTGTCATTTTACTGTTCATAGTTTTGATCTTTTTCTTAGATAAATCCATTTAACATTTCATATAATAAGGGCTTAGTGATGATGCACTCTTCTTCCTTGACCTTATCTGGGAAGCACTTTATCTGCCCTTCCATTCTAAATAATAGCTTTGCTGGATAAATCTTGGATGTAGGTCCTTTCCTTTCATGACTTCAAATAGTTCTTTCCCAGTCCCTTCTTACCTGTAAGGTTTCTTTTGAGAAATCAGCTGATAAGTTTTATGGGAACTCCACAAACTAGAACAGGAACAGAGTCACAGAAATGAAGACCACATGGAGGGTTATCAGTGGTGGGGGGAAGGAGGAGAAGGGAGGGAAAGATATAGGGAATAAGAAGCATAAATAGAAGGTACAAAATACACAGGGGGAGTGGGGGGGTAAACGGGAGAAAAAAATGGAACAACTTCAATAGCATGATCAATAAAATATACTTAAAGAAAAGGGAAAAGGTGTCCCTGGGTGAAGATAAAAGTAAGAAAGGGAATGAGGTAGTGTTGCATGCCACAACATAGGTGAACCTTGAAAACATCGTGCTGAATAAAAGAAGTCAGTCACAAAAGGCCAAAAAAGAGAATATAATAATGGAAACAATAGCCATGGAATTTCTAAATTTTATCTTTACTATTAAAATTTTTTATTTAGCTTGGATTAGAGATGAGTGAAGAATCAAAGGGCTAACAGGGACAGAATTTGAAAGTTTCAGCAAAGTTCCTGCCTTTGCTAAATTGCAAGGAGGCAATTAGATCCTTAAGAAATTAATGTAAAAAAATAGAACTTTAAGAAAATAGACTTGAATATCAAACCTTTGAAGGAAATAGAATTTTTCAAGCTCAGAAATGATAGGAAAGTTGGTAAAAGAATAGATTTGACTATATGTAAATTTTAAAAACTGAAAAGGCAAGCAACAGAAAAACCATTGCCACAAATATGACGAAGGGTTAGCTGTCGTATACAAAGGTTTACAGAATGGCACAAGCACCCAGACAGGCACATGGGCAAAGGACAAGAACTGAGAGTGTGGAAACATGATTGGTTGGCAAACGTGAGGAGAACATTCAATCCCCATGGTAATCGAATGATGAAATGAGAACTGGTCTACATGTCCAAGAAGGGAATGGTTAAATAAAATATATTAACAATATTCCCACTATCTCTTAAAATATATTAGTATAAAACCAAGACATATATGGGAAAATACCTAAGATATAATGTTGGAGGGCGTCCTGCCTGGTTTCAGGGACTGCAGCCTCATTAACGGACAAGAGTCCCACAGTTAGGGCTGAGTGAAAAGGCCTTGAGGCCATGAGCCACTAAGGAGACAGAACATATCCTTGTGGCAGGAGTGCAACCCCTGCCCTCCTCATATCACCCTGCTTGGCCTGGGCAGATGACTAGTTAGCCAATGACAGGTAAGATTCCTCAAGGTAAGAACAAACTAAGACAGGCATGGTTGTGAAGGGCCATCAGGGAAGGACCTAGGGGTCTTCAGAGAAGGGGCAGAAAGACCCTTACCCCTCAGCTTTGTCATAGTCTGAGTCCTCAGTCTTTCTGTAAAAGTCTCCTAGTCTCTTGGCTGCTTTGCTCTCCCCACCTGACTCAACCTGAAAACAATGCCAGAGGCAGCTGAGACCTTGTACTGGAACAGACAGCGACCAGGGGCGAATCTGGCCAGAGCAAGAATATACATTGTTTCCCTTGAGGCTTGCTCTGCCCTGTTATTATGAATCAGACACTTAAGCTAAAAGCCAACACTGACCAGGGAAAATCCCTATGTTTCTTCAACTATTATCTGTAAATGATGTCAGTTTCTCATGACTGTAGCTTTTAAAGCATTGGTTGATGAGCTTTATGTGTATACTATGTACCTCTGTGTGAGCTGAACTCAGTGAAGACACAGAGAAGGAGGTGCTCAGGACCCTTCTCCTCTGAGGGACTGGTCACCTTTCCTCCCCAAGCAGATCATGTCTTGGTAGACTTATTCTCATCCGTGGCAGTGGGGGAGCTCTGTGGGCAGAGCCCTCCATAATATAATATTAAAGGAACAGAATACACATATTATGTACGTGTATATATAGCATATATACAGACAGTATGATAAACATGTGAAAGCAAAACTCACCCATGAAAAATATGGCTCAGAAGATATTCACTAAAATACTAGCATTGGTTATCCTGGAGACTGTGAAACTATGGATTGTAGTAGTTTTTCTTATTTACTGCATTTTCAAATTTATTTTTACTGC